AATTCAGAGTAGGCCACTGCATACTTAATACTGAAGTCTGTATAACCCTGAAATTACATGAAATTACCTACCCAGTAACTATGTCCACCATGACTGAAAGTTACTATAAACCAAAAGAAAAGCAGAGAGATGGGGCAGAAAACAGGGTGAGATGAGAAGCTAAGCAACCTTGGCCTGTTTGGTCAAGAAAGTGAGCATGCAGCTCCCATAGATGCTGCAAAGTGCAAGAAGTGCTCACTACCCTAATCCAAAGGGACAGGCTATTCAAATTTCACTGCTGTGCCAGGTCATGGGCACTGTGTCAAGCTATGTTCATACCTTGATCACAGTTCCTGCTGCCTTTTGTAACTGCTTAAAAGAGAGCTGCATGAGGCAAAGGTGTTTCTTCTCAGCCCCAGCTGTCGTATTTTCTATTTGATTCCTGCCAAATAAGCTAGTTTTACGTATGTTGCTTCAGTTAATATCAAAGATTTCTTCTCCACCTTACTCCCCACATACATATGAAGCTTTGTATGATTTGAAAATCTGTTATGCTTCTCTTACCATTAGGTCAGACTGAGATTAACAGATTTAGTATGTTTTTCATTGTTCTAAAGACAAGTTCGTGAAAGGAATTCAAGCGTTTTACATGCGAATGCTGAAAAACTGAAACATTTAAGGAAGTCCAGTTTGAACATAAGAGATATTAAAAGGGTGATGCTGAAAAAACCTTACAGGATTTTCTACATTAGTAATGGAAATATGGCTTAAGTAGCCTGGTTGGAAGTTAGTCTGGAAGGTTGCCAGTTAAGAACACAGTTGTTTCTGGCACCCTGGAAAGACTGAGTTTAATTTAGAAAATTTGGTTTAGGAAAAGGGCTGCTTATCTTGAAGAACTTATTCTGGTTACTTCTCAAAGCTTCTGCTAGGACATGAAATTTCAGGAATTGTATGTCAGTGTTACAGTTCTTTAGATGTATTTCAGTTTTTGTTGGACCTAAAGTTCACAAGAATTTTCTTCCTATGATCTTAGTGTTTGAAAGTCTATTTCTTTCTCTTTTCTCAATATCTGAGTTTGCCTTGCTATACAAGTTCAAACAGTGTATAACATGCACAGTAACTACATGCTTATTTACTTAGGGCTTTGCCTTTGCTGAAGTCCTTCCACTGGGGCTTATGTGCAGAGTTGCGTGTGCTTAGGTCAGTGATGTGTGGTTTAGCAAAGTACAGTACAACAGTAAACATACTCAAAATTTTATCTTACCTTTCCTCTCCTACAGCACAAAATGATACTAATATTATAGCTGCAACACTAATATAGGTAGTTATTAGATCAGAAATTCCTGCCTTGTATTATTTGGGGCAGGGTTCTTCTTTGTTTGCATTTGGCTTTTTCTCTACTCTCTGAATTCCATCTCCTCACCTCAAATAGTAGCAGTGATTTTACCGTATTGCTAGCAAGCATTTGCCTTTCTTCCAGTGTTCTTAAAACACTTGTCCAGCAATGGTTCATAAAATAACTGTGCTCACTTAATCAGCAAACCTTCTAACTCCTTTTTAACTCCAGTTGAAGGTTCTCACTATGTCACTGTAGCATCACATGAACAACACTGAATTTCCAGTGCATCTCCAAGTAATTAGGAAGAAATTGTCTGAGTTTCAAACTACCTTGGAGAAGGCTGCAGTGCTCTTTTGTGGCAACAGCACCCTCCCTGAGCTGCAGCCAGCTCACTCAGGTTTGCTCCAGCATTTGGCAGTGGTCTCCTACAGCTAGCTCTGTACTGTGAGGGGCTTCCTGTAAGCCTGCAGCTGCCTAGGAAGCATTTGCTTGAGCTTCCAGCTGCATTTTGAGGAGCCTGCACCTGAGTCAAGGACTCAAAATCACAACTGCTGGCAACCAAGGCAATAATTATGCTACAGGTGAATACCAGCTTCAGCCTGTACTTGGGAATTTCAGCCTGTTGGTATCTGCCCTTCGTTACCTTAGGGAGAACAGCAATAAGGCCACGATTTGTTTTGTTTTGCTTCATTCACCATGATGTCCAACCAGGTTCAAGTACTTCTTTGAGAGCCTCAGGAACGTGTTCACACACCATGCTTAGAGGAACTCTGCTCATCTCTTCCTTATGGACAATGCAACAAAGTGAGGCCAAATCAAGCAGCTCTTGGAGAGCAAGAGCTATTACCTTGGCTTTTAGTGCCTTCAAAGGCTGTGTGGCTGGAAGTCCCACTTGCCTCCCAAGACTCCCTTGCTTCTCTGCTAACTGGTGATGAAGAAAAAGAAACAAACCCAAAAGAAACCCTTTGCCACCAATGAAAGTGAAAGGCTAGACAGAAAGTCTTAGAGGAGATGAACATATGATTTGCGTATGGAGACATGACAGTGTATTAGCCACTCTGCCACTCATCTGAACTCTGCTATGGCTCTTGCTACTGCTTCCTTCTTGCAAGACTCCAGAAGACAAGAAAATTCCTGGGGAATGGAATAATTCTTGGAGGACAGAGGGAGTCAAGCCCATTCCCTTCCAGAACCAATGCATTTTATGAAGCTGCCAGCACCCTTTGCAGTAGGTCCTGCCTAGGAGATAATAGGGTAAGAAGGTTCTACCATCTCCTCTGAGGCCCTAAAGGGCTAACATAGCCTTGTGAGAAATTTCTTCAGTTCATCTCTTTGGTTTTCCAGATGAATCTCTGCTTGTGACCTACAGACACAACAGCTCTTGCTTAAGAAACAAAATGCTCCATGGGATCAGGTAGGTCAAGTCTCTGTTTACTTCCACGAGGGCTGTTTAAGGAGCAAAAGTATTGCTCACTGCCACTATTACTGTCTTTGTAGGGACACACAATTAAAGCTTCTTTTCTTCCTTTCTCTCCAAAAGACTATTTGTGGATTTCTCTGATGGAAAAAGATAAATTTGTTCTACTTAGTCATCCAGTTCCAATGGAAATACAGGTACAATCTGAACCGTGACTAAGAGTACAGAAAGGGGTGGAGGTTTGACATGTACAGTTTGACCTGGAACTACCAAGCATTTGTAGGTAAGAATTCTGTGACAAAACCAGCTTGGGAGCCTGTTTATGGGCAGCACTGACATAGCACCAAAACTGAAGGCACTGATATAATCCAGAGCACTGAAAGGAATACCATCCTGTGCATGCATCTAAATTCCTGTCAGAATAAATTGTTTTCAGTGCTTACTGAAAGCATATAAGTGGCTGGGTGGGGAATACCAGCATACATTCCTCTCAGAGGTAAACCCCTCTAGTTGAAGTACAAACTCCCTTCTGGAAGCAGCTTGCTTTTTCTGTGTCTGAAATAATTTTCAATTCTTGGCCATAGACTGCCCTGCAGTGGCGTAGCCAAAATCTGCAGCCTTACTGACTTTTGTACAATACCTTTTAACTTCCTTATTTAGAAGTAGTATGCCCATCACTAGAAGGCACAGAAAGAGACCAGAACATTTGCAGAACAAATGAAAAAATTGAAGCAAGGGAGATTTCAGTCTTCAGCGTAAATACAGCGTGCAGTAAAATGCCACTACTGATTTGGAATGTTTTATCTCATTTTCATAGGAAACAAGGTAGATTTGATCACACTTTGTACCTGTTTGTCTCCAGAAGCTATTTGCTGACCTCAGATTTGCTGACCTCAGCTAAATTTAACTGCTAAAATGAAGATCTCAGAGGTGGTTAATGTCAACAGATTTTGAGAAAAGTATTTTTTTCAAACCACTCCAGAAAACTAATGGCTATAGTGTCAGCACAGAAACTGTTAGATGTGACAAAGAATCCAGAAAGGAGAATGACCTGGTAAATGCCCCAGGAGAAAAGTCCCAGTCACATTTCACGATAAACCTAGAGACAGAAATCCTTAGAATCTTGTACTGAAGCAGAAACCAGGCTTCATTAGTACTGGAGCTTGCTTTGTAAACTGATGGAACTTCTTAATCTACCTATATAATTTTAAGCTTCACAGAAATCAGCTCTCTAATCTTAATATTCTAAAGATGCAAAACTTCAGTAGTTTCATTTTCTGTGCATTCCTACTAGTGTCTGCATTCTAAGTTGCATCACATTTGGCAGGACTAATAGTAGCACAAAATGGTGATAGGTAGCAAGGTTGCTTGTATTCAGATTGGCTGTGGCTCAACATTACTTAATGTTGAATCTTAATGTTACTTTAAGTTCTTAGAAGGGTAAAGCACAATTTGTGTTCATTAAAAGAGACAAAATAATACCAAAAGCATTTTCACACTCAGCAGAAGGTGTGGATTACCCTCATTGTACTTCCGGTAAGTCAAGAGATGCCAGTATCTCAGCTGATCTCCTTCAGCTCCCTTACAGTAAGATCAGAAAAACAGGCACTTCAGAATGTAATTCATTTGACCTCTTTCAGATATGTCCTTTGTTGTGAGGCAAATGAATGCCAGAAATGACTATTTCTCTCAGTTTCCTGTAAAGGAAGCTTGTGATAACTAGCTCAGAGATGGGCATTCCAATGTTTTATAAGCATTTGGAATTTGGAGAGCTCTTACTACAGTACTATCTATACATCCATCAAGCACTGTGAATGAACTTCATATTCTGAAGCTGAGGGACCACTTTCTTAGTGAAAATATATAACTGTGATGAACTGAGACAGCCCTGCTAAAATAAGATCTGGTGCTAAACTTTTTTCAAAGTTTTCCGAGTTTCTCTGAGTCATTTGAATCACTTCATGATCATTCTTCATATTTGGTTTTGTTCTGGCAACATCAATTTCTGCCCTTGCTTACGCACTGGGTCCTCCAGACAGTACCTTCTGATACTTCATTTTTTAAAGAGCGAGAAATAGATACCCCAAAAGTTTAAGAAATATGTCCGTTGACTTCCTACAACTGAAAAAGAACTTTTCTTCCCTTTTAAAACTCAGGCTCATCAAGACAGCATGTGAGTAAGTACAAAATCCGTGTTTTTTGAAATGTGCTTTTAATTATTCAAAGGAAATAAGCTGATTATATAAGGAACCAACAGGCTGTGCACTTGGAAGAATACAAATCTGTGTTCTTATTTTGTGCACAAATAAATACAGCACTGTTAAAAATAATCAGAGAACAAACAGGATACAGTAACTGGGAAAAGTAAAGTTCAAAAGTTGTCAAGGAAGATGAGAATGGTGCATAACCCTTTTAGTTGAATGCTGCTAGTTTTTTTCCTGTTCATTTTGATGTTAAGCTGATGGCCCTCTTGATACGGTCTACAGTGCTTGCCTCGTCATTTTCTTCTGTGGTCTGCAGCTCACTGGACTGTGAGTTGCTGCATTCAGTGTCTTGACAGCTGCAGCTTTCCACATATATATACTTGTGTGAAATTGAACTCCCAGAGGGACATTTCAGTTTCACTTCCTTCATGGTAGTCCTTGATTCCCTGCAGCAGGAACAGCTGTGGTCCAGAAAATTGGCCTCAGCAGAATATCTGTTAACATGAAAATGGCAACATTACTCTGTGTCAGAGCCAGCATATAAAGAAGAGGGTGAAATTAAATATGGAACTACTGTGAGAAGTTTGGAATAATATATAGAAGAGCCACAGCTGTGGCTAATGAAAGTGCTAAACTCATCTGACAGAACAATGTTTATAACAGTATGCTTATAAAATTCATTGCATTTGCTGCGATTTTTCTTTTCTTCTGGAAAAACAATTAGCATTGAAGTCCTAATAACCCAGTAAGTTCTAGGAGCTCAGCTTCCTTAAATTCCTCTCATCATTCCAGCCCTGATGGATTTTAAATACACCAGATGAATAATTAAGGGCAGACAAAGCCCTGACCTGAGTAAAAATACTGCATAGACAAGTGGCTACAATGCCATCTACAATGGCATCACATCAATCAATTGGCTACAAGGGCTACAATTGCATTGTGTGAATCAAAGTGCATGTCCCATACCCAGCAGTGTTAACAGGAAGAGGAAGCAGCAGCTCTTTCTGTTCCTATCTTACAGCAAAGTATTTTTTTGAAGCCTTGTGGTCATCAGCTTCCCAAGCACCTTTCCTAAGTGGCAGAATCTGTCAGTATCAGTCTATAAACTGTGTCAAAAGTCATCTTTTTCTTGTACTGGTGCAGAGGCAACCAGAGCAAGACTCTAAGATGATAAGGTATTTCAAAATACTGGTAAACCACCTAGCTAATAGGGGTTTAATCTGAGACTAAAGATCAGTTTTCTCCCCTGTGAGGTGCCCTGTGGCATATTCAGTGATAGGCAGCAAATGACAGTTTCTCTGGGGAGCCGATAGTTTCAAGTCCTCTAGCACTCTGCAGTCTAACTATTTATTGTTCTTTTTATATAAAGAAGCTCAGTGCCAGCAGAATTCAAATCCCATTGTCTGATCAGTTTACTTACAGCGAGAAGGTTCCACATGTTCCTTCACATTCAGTCATGACAACTCTGTCCACAGAACGACAGCCCTTATAGAGGATAAAGTCTTTCCTTTGACGGACAGAACACGGTGTAGGACTATCCAGGGGTATACCTACAGGCAAAGATTAGAAAATACTTTCAGTGAAACAGCTCCAGAAGTTCCTTGCAGTTCAACAATTGCTGGACTTCACTAGCGCACTCAAATTGTCTTTAGTGGTCTTTCTGCTTCCGTTTCAACTTTCCTAGAGACATGGACAGGGAATGCTTGGAATAACAAACACAAATATAATCTATTTGAATACAAACATATCAGCCTTTATGGCTGGGAAACGGATTGATATAAAAAAAAATTCATTCTCTGTATTATTGATTCAGGTACACTGGAATACTTACAGGTTTTGCAACAACCATTAGGTAAGAATGCAATAGTTCCCTAAAAGACAAAGAAACAGGAAAAATAAGATTATTTTCTTTCCCTTTATTAAAGCAGCTTTTAGGCCAATACTGAATAGAGTGATTCCTCAATGGCTGGAAATAACCAGCAAAAACTGAAGGATTGTTCTGATAAAAAAGATAATGATCTCTTCTAGACTTGAAATATATCCATTTACAAAGGACTGTGAAAATTGAGATAATGCTTTGAAGGAAGTCTACAGTTAACATCATGCAATTTTTCCTCAGAAAAAATTCCAAAAAAATGTTTTGCAGAGCCCCACACAAAGCAGTCAGCAAGGACTTTGTATCTAAGTGCTGAACAGTATTTTGGCTGCTGAGAGACTGCTGCCAGCTACAAGCCATGAACTATCACCCAGATATCTTACTTCATACACTGTATAGGTCTGTGCATGGATGGAGCAAAACTTTTGCCTTTGGGACGGACAGACTTTGGTGAAAGGTCATCAGAGCTTTATTGGACTTTTGTTGATAGTTAAGTGGCTGAAGTAAACTGAAGTAATCTATACATTGAGTAGAGAGTAAGTTTTCCATATTTACTTACGGGTTTGCAGCTGTCTTCATTGAACGCTGGGCAGGTTATCTCAGATTTAGAAGAGAGAAGATGGTTCTGGATATTTACACAGCTATAAATGGTGCAGTTGTTGTTAGGATCATTTTCAAACTCTCCAGGCTGCAAGTGAAATACAAAATGTAATAACGAAAGCTGAAGGGAGCTCAGTCAGAAATTTTCCTGCCCTCTGACAATGACTCTCCTCATTGTTCCCCAGTCAATTATTTTAGCTTAACATCCACTTAACAGCCATTTTAATTATTTTAGGTTAACAGCTTATATGCATTGCAGTATGCCATATATGGAAAGAATAGTCATGTTTACATGTGATTTCCCTTGCAAAAGAAAAATCCCTCTAAAGTATGTAGAGTACATCAGAGTTATTAACAGAATAATCTATGGCAATGGATTTTGCCTAGGGAAAGCTAAACTAAATATGGTAATTAAGAACAATCCTAAACTTTCACCCTACAGGGCAATAAAACGGTTTCATATTCAGGCTTTAATAGTGTTTTTCAACACACAGAAATTACATAATATAGAAAAGCCCAAGCTTCCAGACATTGCAAGAAAAATCTTTCCAATGGTATTAGATTTGTTATTCCAGGAAGAGCCTTCCAGAAAATTCGATTATAAAAGTCCTTTTTTCAAGCCAAAAAAATGCAGATAGGCTTTGCTTTAGGTGAGCCTATGACCTTTTAGGTGCAAACTTATACTAAGCCTTATCTCTGAAAAGGAGATGTTCCCTCTCTGAAAGGGGGAACTTTACAAATTTGGTAAAGAAGATGTAGAGCATACTTACACTCAAGATGAGGTCAGAATTGTTTGCTGTTTGTATAATACACTTAGTCTGCACACATCTTCCACAACATTCACCTTCCACTGGTTGATGTTCATATCCCTAAATATTAAAATTAATTAAAAATGAAAGTACTATGATAGATATATTTCAGAGAAATAAATGAAAACATACTAACACATTAATTGATTATGCTTTGAAGTGCACTATAGATTTGTGCTTTTGCGTACCTTTCAGTGTTCCAACGCAATGGAAGACAAGTAATAAAAGCAGGCTATAGGTGGAATAAATTAAAGCACTAAAATAAATATGCCTAATAATTAAATACAACTCTACTATGTGCTCTACAGAAATTTCCCAGCTAGTTCAATATGAACTGAATACTGTAAGTTACACAGTCAAGCTTCATGTAATAGACTGCTCAAGAACAGTTGGTATCCATGCTGGAGTTGGACTCTGGATTTCTGCTCCTTGTCCTTTGCTTATACGTCTCATGGATCAAACTCCTTTTCACATACATGGGTATTTTGGCTTTTTGTTTGTTTGTTTGAAGTTTGTCACTTACTGGTTTGCAATCTGTGTTGCATGGAATATGTTCACATGAGATGATATTCAGTTGAGTGCTGACGTTAACTTCATTAGTGCAGAAACAATTCTGACACTTATCAACAAAGACTGAGGAATTAGGCTATAAATTTGAAGACAAAAAGGTTCATATATTAATCAGACATGACATGTGTGACAGACATTTCTTAATTTCTAAAAAATCAGTAAACTAATCAATAGAAAACAAAACAATCATAGCAACTATTGGATAGCTATTTGGTTGGACATTTATGAGACAACATTTTAAATATTGGATTTAATTTAGCATGTATCTTTACTGAAGTCCTATATAGCAATTATAAACTCAGATATCTAAAGAACAGGTGTCATAAAAATATCTGCAATAAATAAATTACTAGACCAAACATACTTTATTAGGAATCTAAGTCTGTTTAGAATAATACTTATTTACAGATATTATAATTTTTGAAAGCAGAGTCTTAAAATTGCAACAATGTGCTGACATCATAAGACGTCAGCTGATTTTTTAAAATGCATGTACACTTAACTCTAAATGCAAATCTCTCTGCTACTGACATACAAACAGCTTTTCAGTCTCTTATACACAGCAACCTTTACAGAAAAGATTTAGGCTTTGTAAAACTGATGGACTCCTGATAGACATTTGAAAATTGCTAAAATATTTGATTGTACTAGATAAACCTCCTCATAATACTTCTGATAAAGTATACTAACTGGTATTTAAACCATTTTCAGAAGACTGTTGAAATAGGAACTTACCAAGAATTCAGCATTCTGATGTACACAAACCTTCTTGGAAACTGTTAACAATCAAGGAGATAGGTGGTTATACAGAGGTGAAAAAAAAACCAAACCTCTTCACCCCGCTCTAGTTAAACTCATTCCTTCCACAATGAATCACAATGCATATGGTCAAATACATTGTTTGTCCATTTCTGGTAGCAGATATGACTTACATGAATACAAGAACTAATACCGCATGTTTGAAAGGAAGATTTAGCCCATTCTACTCAGTCCAGTTAGTAGCCAAGAATGCACATTTAACAGGTACAAGTAAATCCTTGTTTCAATTACCAAGAGCAAAGCAGATTTTGTAAAGCTGTCTTCTACTGGGGGTGCCTGGCAGGACATTTTCTTAGATTAAACTGAAACCACAATTCCAGTTAATTCTGTAGTTGTTCTGATATGTACTTACAACAAAGAAACTTGAATTTGAGCCACATGAGCTGTATCTGATTTTGTAGGTTTTCAGCATAACCACAGCAGTAGTAACTAATGTTAATAGTAACTAATTTGTAGAATCTGACTGTTTGTTACCTCTTTCAACAGGCTACTGTATACAGGCTTACTAAGTGTGATACTAAATTATTCAATATATACTGCTAATCATTGTTAATATATTTCCAAGAGACTTACCACACTGGTACACAGGACAGCATTGACCCCTGGGAATGTGAGAATGAACTTCAAATCCCAGTGTACACCTGGGGGCATTAGTTGTGCACAAGCTTGTATTGCATTCTGAAAAAAAAAGGAGTAAGCCAGAAAGTACACTAAATCACAGCTACAAGAAACAGACATCTAATAAAGCATTTAGGATAGACTTCCTATTGATAAGCAACAGTCTCAATCTTCTCCAAAGAAACAAATTTCAGAAAGAGAACACATTTTTCTTAGTGAATCCAGGCACTAGTTTGTGAAAATTTTTCTACTATGTAATTACAAGCACTAACAATTCTTTGCAGAGAATTAGTGGACAACTGTTATCTCCAATGTTGTAAGTAATTGCTGCAAAATGAAAACCCACATAGAATTCAGTAATCTATCTGCATTTCACGTGAATAAAATGTGGTGCTGAACTTGAGAACTATAGATTTAGCTGAGTCCCATAATTTTAAATTCAGTTATCCTGAGCCATTGCAATATTAAAATGTATTTTCCCTAACACTGGGCAAGCTGATTTTAAAAAGCATGAAGAAAGATACTATTTTATGACTCCCTGCTGCAAGTCTCTGGTGCTAAACTAGTCCAGTTCTTTTTATCTTTCTCACCCTAAAAGGTACAGGAAGAATGAAAACAAAAGTGTAAACTCACTGCATGTGATAATGGGGCAGCAGGAGTCATCAGGATTGACTTCACTGACTTCATGGAGGCCTTCTCCATCACAAGTGGTCTTATTTTGTTTGGCACATTCATGAGGCTTACATACAATGCCATTTCCACCTTCCAGGCAAATACAGTCCTGACAGTCTACTGTAAACTTTTCCCCAAACTGTCATTAAAAAAAATAAAGTGAGTGATTGCATGATTGCCAATTAAAAAGAACAGAAGTAAAAACAGGAATGAAAATTTGGGAGACCACAAAACAAGACTGCACAAGTAGAGACCACTTTTCTCTCCCCAAGCTCTGCCTCTATTTGAAATACAAAAGCATATGGCAGCATACCTCTCTTGGTATCTTATCCACTCCAACACAGCCTGTGAAAATATCAAAATAAATTTCAATTACCACTGATACAACAGTAGATATCTCTACTATATGTTGGATGAGTACTGCATACAGTCAGATCTATGCTGTATACATCAAAAGGAAACAACAAAGAGGAAACAAACATGCATCCAAGTGAAGCAGTAAAACTCACCACATGTTTTTACACAGACATCCACACCAGAGTCATACAGCATTGTTCCATTAGGACAGAAACAGCCTTCCACTTGCTTAGTTGAAGTTTCATTTTGCTGGCTATATGAGACAAAATTTCAGAGGAACGCCATTACTATCATAGACATGCAGAGGAGGATTATGCTAAATAATCTTTCACTGAAGATACAGTGGCAAAGAATATGCATATTTGCGATTTAGATACTGTCAGTGTTCATGTTTGGTATAGCCAAACAATATAAACAGTACATGCACTCTCAGTTAGGATGAAGAGAACAATGGTACCAGATTTGACAGTCAATTTAAGACATAACAGGAGGTTGATTTATCTACCTATGCATTAAATATGACTGGACAGCTACTTGTATGAACTATAACATGGAATTATTTACCTTGATTTGCAGGTTATCTCTTTAATAGGACCACATGCTCTGTATTCTTTATCTGAGGGGCATGTATAAGCTGGAATGGGAGAATAAAAAGGAGGAAGAATTCAGTGACAATTTTCATATAAAAGTCCCATGACTTTATGTCAAGAACTTCAACACTGAATACTCATTTCCATATGTATCTTTTTTTTTCATAATTTTATTCTCTTTTGCACAAGTTCTCAAAGGGGAGTGTATTCATACCGTGTGTCCTCATCTTACTACAGCTGAAAATGAATGCATATGTAACTAAATACAGAGTGATCTACTGATGCCTGCAAAACACAAAACTGCCCATGCACAAAGAAGTATCTATCGATACAGGTGTTTCTGGCACAGTCAATTGATGTATATTTTTGCAGGATCATTTATCATTTCCACTGATAAAAATGTAATCTGTAAAATTAGTTAAGAAAAGCAGCTGTTGTGATTTACTGGTGTCTTCATTGCTCGGAATACAGTATAACTTACTCTTAGGACATTATTGCCAAAATAGTTCCATATAAGCTTCTGTAATAGTCTGGACAAACAGCCAAATACTTACAGCAAACACCATTTGTATGACTTCTCCAGTCAATGCATACACTTTGATCAGCACAGGTGGCAGCATAGATCTGCAGACTTGAGCATTCCAGGTCTAAGTTGGGAAGTACGCAACTATCAAAAACACAGGCTGAATAGTACTTTTCAGGCTGGACACGGCCATGGCACGGCTCAAACACACTAGAAACATATACATTTATCATTATTAGTTACTGAATAGTTACTGAATTCTTCAAGATGCTTAACAGGTTATGATGTGGCATATGTGGTACTTCAGGAGATACGAGCAAGGACTATATTATGGAGAGATTTTTACTAGGAACACTTGTCTAGATTTTAACCTTGCAACATATCTTCCCCTTGCAATGTATCCTCCCCTCACCTACAAAACAACCAGGCACCAATATTTTCTGCCCATGAATATTATCAAACATAACTATTGTCCTGGGTTCTGCTGTAACAGTTATCTTTCTCCTTCTTAGTAGCTGGTGCAGTGCTGTGTTTTCAACTTTAGTCTAAGAACAATGCTGATAACACACCAATGTTTTTAGTTGTTGCTAAGTAATGCTTACCTCGATCAAGGACTGTTCAGTCTCATGCTCTGACAGCGAGGAGGGGCACAAGAAGCCGGGAGGAAGCAGAGACAGGACACCTGACCCAAACTAGCCAAAGGGGTATTCCATACCACAGCACACCATGCCCAGTATATAAACTTAGGGGAGTTACCCAGGAGGCCCATATCACTGCTCGGGTCAGGCTGGGTATTGGTTGGAGGGTGGTTAGCAATTGCATTGTGCATCACTTGTATTGATTGGGTTTTTTCCTTTCCCCTTTTATATTCTCTCCCCTTGTTATTTCTATTATTATTAGTATTATTATTGGTGGTAGTAGTTTTGTATAATACCTTAGTTACTGGACTGTTCTTATCTCAACCCATGGGATTTAAATTCTTTCGATTCTCCTCCCCATCCCGCTGGTAGCTGGGGGGAAGGAAAGGGGCAAGTGAGCGAGCAGCTGGATGGTTCTGAGTTACCAGCTGGGCTTAAACCACAACAACCATGAACTACTTTTTTAAAACTAGTTCTAAAATCTCTAAAGAGATTTTGTTTATTTGGGTTTCTTTTCAATTCCTGACACAACATTCTAAAAATGAAGATCTCTCTTTTCAGTTGCACTCTGTTTTCTGCTAATTAAGCATGGGAAAAGACAAGAGCATAGAACAGTGCAGGTCAGAGATATAGAAGAATGTGAGAACATAAGAAAGGTTTATGTAGAAGCCAGACAGTTGGAAGCAAACTATCAGCAAAGAATGACATCCAGGAACAGTAAAAGGAATGGGGGCAACCCAGAAAGCTATGAGAAATGGAGTAATAGTTAGAAAGACTTCCTATGGATAAATGAATCTTAAAATTGCCACTTAATTTGAAGATCAAAGGCTTATAAATCCCAAAGGAATGTCTACCTTCCCAAAAGAAGCTCGCAGATGGAAGAGTCTTTGCAAGGCGTTGGAGTTGTGTTAGGTGCTTTTGTAGGAATTAGGCCTGGAGAGCATTGTGGTTTGGAGGGATCAATAACTTGCCAGTGATCTGCCATAACTTCACAATTTTCTGCAATGTTTCCATTTGGCAACATGCAGTCATCTGCCGTATTGTTATTGCAAGTACCTAAAATTGGTAAAGGGAGAAAGAATTTGTGCACAGATTTGTTATCAAATTCCATTCATCTTTGTGGCAAGGCTGTCATTTCCCTGTTTATGGTTTTGTGAGAGTACAAAAACTACAAGAGTAAGCCTTACCACACTGTCCATGAGTGTTGTTGCCAAACAGGCTGTAGGGCATTCTGATAGAAAAGGACAAGCCATTGTAGGTCACATTCATTTTTAGTTCAGGAATTTCCACTACACGATTTATGCCTGATTCATAGATACTCACACCAAATTTTTTATAAGGCAAAGCCACTTCCTGTTTGTTTACTGTCACCTAATAAATAAAGAGAAAAGAGACATATATTTATTTTGACTTCAGAAAACAATTGACTATTCATTATTTTGCATGGGAGACAGAAAGTAAAAGCAAATAAGATGCTTTTAGTTTGCAGCAACTGCCCCTGTGTTTCCTTTTATGTTACTGGAAAGCCAAACTTCTCCTCCCTCAGCCAAAAAAAAAAGGCCTGTCAGCCACTGATAAACTAGGCTAAAATACAGAGTTTAAACCAGCTGAACTCTAACACTCAACAGATTTATTAGAGTGACTATGACATCAAGGACACCCTATGAAAGTGCAATATGAAATCCTTCTAAATTCCTAGTGGGCACAGTTTTAACTTTCTGGGCAAAAAGGGAACATGGTTGTAGGAAAATCAAATGAAAGAAATAAGCCAAAATCTGTATTATTTATTTAAATACAGTAGTCATATACCTATGGAACTAACACGACTGCTTTTACTCAGCAAAGGTAGTTTGCTTTGCTTTACAGAAAAAAAATGGTCTAAATGTTGCAAATTTTCAACAACATCCTGCAACCTAACTTGTAATATTCCCACACAGTAATGTAAAAAACTAAACTAACCAAACCCCCAAAACCACAAACCCAAACACTTCTTATCCAATTTTGAAGGCTCAAAACTGGGACATCATGTTTATCAATTAAATAAACACATAATAGCCCCTATTCTGCAAAATGAAAACATTGACATCAATCAAAGCTAGTAATTTCACTTTAAAAAAATGCTTAAGGCCACTGCTTTAAATCTTATGTCTAATTTATGTTATAACCTCCCATTCAACATTTGTTATTTTGCTTTGTGGAAAAGTCCAAGCTAGTATTAATTCTGAAACACAGATTTGATTTTAATTTTTTCCCCTGACATTGTGTACATAATTATCAAGTTGATGTTACACTATTATTTTAACCAAGAAATCAAACGTAGCATTTTCCAATACCTCTACTTGCAGAGTATTTTGTTTGACTGTTGCTATGCGCACTTCCTGAGTCTCATGTCTCACAATGAGTGTTCGAGGACAGGAGACTACATCCCGTACATCACAATTGTAGTTATCAATGTAAACACCAAAGTTGTCAACTTTCTTATCAATCTCTTCCACAAGGACGTATGTACAATTCCCTTGATAGCTGTAGTACAGTCCATCGAAAGTCATGTAATGCGGGTCTCCCCAGCCAATGCAGTAGCCTACAGAAACATACAGCTAGGTTAGCTCCTTATGGCAACATACAGAATTAGGCCAGACTACAAACAAAATCTGTAGGGATTCATCTCATGTAACTTTAAGCATTTTTAAAGTGTGTATGTCAATGCATGAGCTCGTTATCTAGAACACATAAATAATAGAGGAAAACAGGCATTTTCAGGGCACAGTTCATCTGACATTTCTGACAATGGAGAATAGGATTAACTTCATCCTAGACATACCTTTACAGATAGCCTGACTAAGTTCATCTAGTTCCAACCCTCCTGCCACAGGCAGGGACACCTTCCACTATATCAGGTTGCTCAAAGACCTGTCCAACCTGGCCTTGAACACGTCCAGGGATGGGGCAGCCACAGCTTTTCTGGGCAACCCGTTCTAGTGCCTCACCACCTTCACAGTGAAGAACTTCTTCCTAATATCTAATTTGAATCTATCCTCTTTCAGTTTAAAGCCATTCCCCTTTTTCTTATCACTACCTGCTTTTATAAAAAATCCCTCTCCTGCCTTCTTGTAGGTGTCATTTGATGCAGGCCAGGATACGGTTGGCTTTCTGGGCTGCAAGTGCACATTGTGCTGAGCCTCTCATCAAACAACACTCCCAAGTATATGTAGGCTTCTAGCCTTTAGATAGATGTCGGCATCTGGATATTTACATCCTGCCTTGGGAGACCAATTACTTCTCCTAACACAATAATTATATAGAAATTACGGCATATAAGTAAAAGCCCTCAGTAGCTAAAAAGAATCATTGAAGCACTGCAAATAGTCCAACACTAGAAGTCTGAGGGCCACAACCTTGTGTGATACTTATCCCCTAATAAAAAAAACACTGTTGCTCTTGACACTAGCATTGTTGCCACAGACAATGACAAAATATTCAACAAAGTATATACTTACAATCACATTCCCAGTGCCAACAGCATCCTTCCTCATCAATGACTTGTACAGGAGAAAGCCCATTGGCACATGTAGGTTTAGGAGGTGGATTACAGATTATGGGAACCACCTGGATTACATCATCTTCTATGCATATAGCCTTAGTGCAGTTGCAGAGCCACCATGATTCACCTGGCTGTGTTTGGAAAGAGAGTATTTGATGGAAGAGGGAGAGAAACCTTATGGTCAAATTACCAGCAGTTATGCCTGAAAATCTTTTGCAGTATTTAAAATGTCATATTTTTATTGACAATTTTTTTCCCACCAGAAGTCTGAAAATGGGAAGTGCAGCAGGCAGTACAAAGGCCTGCAGGATGAACTAGCACTACTGAGAGCTGCTGATTGAAAAGCGTTACTTATAAAAGTCAAACCAGTAACCTCAAGTGGGAATTGCCTTTTTTAGTTTCGGGTATCTAAAAGTTAAATGTCTGATATAATTTCATCATCTAGACTCCCTTTCTAAGCCAGTATCAGTGAAAGATACTGATCCAGATCCATGATGAATATATAAGCAATCCCCTTCCGTGAATGCCTTGAACAGATTAAGAGCTAAAGACACAGTGAACACCAATTATTTGGGAGGTAATGCCTAAGGTTATTACATTCATGCATTGTGATTGTATGCATTTTGTCTATCTTCTACCAGTTTTTCAGCCATGTATAATAGTGTATACTAAGCAAATTGATAAACATCTAAGCTGTGAGGAGGCTTTAAAAATGTACAAGACATTAGCTTGTCTGTGTCAGAAGTGGAGGGTTCGAAAAACCTCAGAACCCTGAGTCAAATGTCATTAGCATTTGAATGCGCTGATCTGTTTCATAGTACTCTCCTGAAACCAGATTATGACCCAGTATGACTCATTCTAAACACAGACTACTTCAGCCCTCTGGTTCCTTGTTGGGCTGCACTGTAAACACATAAACAACTTTTACCCACTCTAGACTTATTCAAAAGCAGAAATAAAAAAGATAGTTTAGCACCACTTTGCTCTTGTTTACCTCTTCATCAAAGCTATCCTAAATAGGAACACAGAACTGTTACCTACGTCCCTGAAAAATCTTTTTAAAACTATACTTGAAGAACTAATAGCAGTATACAAGCTATCAAACTGAATATCATTGGAAATCATGCTGATACACAAAAAAAAAAAAAAAATAAATAGAATGGATTAAAACTTGTTCTTCTTTCCAGATTAATACATTCTCTATATGTTATTAACATAGAAATTACGTGGTTAGTCTCCATCCACAGCAGAAATCTACTCACCGCGTAAGATTCGTTAGGTAAAATAGAACAATTTTTTCCAGGAGTGCTTGGTGGTAGACTTAGAGTTGAACTCGAAGCACTGAATTTAGTAACTGTACTGTATGTAGAGCTTCCTGGAATGGTGACTGCACTTGAGGTAGCAATTGGAACAGACATACTAGTTGAGCCAGAGGAAAGAATTCCAGAGGTGGTGGTGGTTGCAGTGATTGTGGTAAAATTACTAGAGGTAGTTCCTGAAGTCATGGTAAAAGACTCTGTTGGAGTTGTACCAGAGGTGGTGACTGACATGGGACTTGATACGGATGACTGAGGTACAGTAATGCTGGCTGTAGGCTTTGCAGAAGATAGCCCCACAGTTGTTGCTGTGTTGATAGCAGTAGATCTTACTAAAGTAGCGTAAACTGCAGTGCTTGACAGGGGGCTACCAGTTCCTGTTACTGTCGGGGTGCTGAAGGGAAACAGTTCGGAAGTTGTGGGGCCTGAAGTGGTACTTTTGGTGGTCAATCCTGTTTCAGGGACTCCAGACGTGGTGGCTGTCACTGGGGTTGCTGATACCGGAGGTGATGATACAGTAGTGCTGGTTGAAGGCTCTGGCATGGGTGATTCTGAACTTGTGATGGTGGTAACAGCTGATCTTGTTAATGTACTGCTAGTTGCAGTTGTTGTCAAAGGACCAGAAGTCTCTGTTACCACTGTGGTAGGGGCGGGAGGAGGTCCTGAAGGTGTGGGGCTTGATATGGTTTTTTGGGTGGTCGAACCAGTTTCAGAGACGCCAGATGTGGTGGCTATCACTGGGGTTGTTGATACCAGTGGTGGTGATACAGTAGTGCTGGTTGTAGGCTGTGGCGTAGGTGATCCTGGAGTTGTGGTGCTTACGGTGGTTGTAGGTGATGTTCTCGTCGGGCTCCCTGTCCCAGTGGACGTGGTCTTGTGGCTCGATGTTTCCGTTACAATTGTGGTGCTGTGTTGAGTGGTTCCTGAAGGTGTGAGGCTTGGTGTAGTGGTTTTGGTGGTCAATCCTGTTTCAGTGACTCCAGACGTGGTGGCTGTCACTGGGGTTGTTGATACTGGGGGTGGTGATACAGTAGTGCTTGTTGTAGGCTCTGGCATGGGTGATCCTGGACTTGTGGTGCTTATGGTGGTTGTAGGTGATGTGCTTGTGGGGCTCCCTGTCCCAGTGGACATGGTCTCATGGCTCGATGTTTCTATTACAATTGTGGTGATGTGTTGAGGGGTTCCTGATGGTGTGGGTCTTGCTGTGGTGGTTTTGGTGGTTGATCCTGTTCCAGTGACTCCAGACATGGTGGCTGTCACTGGAGTTGCTGATACCAAGGGAGGTGACACAGTAGTGCTTGTTGTAGGCTCAGGCATGGGTGATCCTGAAGTTGTGGTGCTTATGGTGTTTGTAGGTGATGTGCTTGTGGGGTTCCCTGTCCCAGTGGACGTGGTGTCGTGGCTCGAGGTTTCCGTTACAATTGTGGTGCTGCGTTGAGGGGTTCCTGAGGGTGTGGGGCTTGGTGTAGTGGTTTTGGTGGTCAATCCTGATTCAGTGACTACAGATGTGGTGGCTGTCACAGAGGTTGTAGGTACCAGTGGTGGTGATACAGTAGTGCTGGTTATAGGCTCAGGCATGGGTGATCCTGAAGTTGTGGTGCTTATGGTAGTTGTAGGTGATGTGCTTGTGGGGCTTCCTGTCCCAGTGGACATGGTCTCATGGCTCGATGTTTCAGTTACGATTGTGGTGCTGTGGCGAGGGGTTCCTGAGTGTGTGGGTCCTGATGTGGTGGTTTTGGTGGTCGATCCTGTTTCAGTGACTCCAGAAGTGGTGGCTGTCACAGAGATTGTAGGTACCGGTGTCTGTGATATGGTAGTGCTTGTAGTACGCTCTGGTGTGGGTGATCCTGGAGTTGTGGTGGTGGTAACAGGTGATCTTGTTAACATACTGCTAGTTGCAGTTGGTGTCAAAGGACTAGATGTCTCTGTTACCACTGTGGTAGTGGGGGCAGGAGGTCCTGAGGGTGTTGGGCTTGATATGGTAGTCTTGGCGGTCAATCCTATTTCAGTGACATAAGATGTGGTGGCTGTCACTGGGGTTGTTGATAAGGGTGGTGGTGATACAGTAGTGCTACTTGTAGGCTCTGGCGTGGGTGATCCTGAACTTGTGATGGTGGTAACAGTTGATCTTGCTGATGTACTGCTAGTTGCAGTTGTTGTCAAAGGACCAGATGTCTCTGTTACCTCTGTGGTAGTGGTGGGAGGAGGTCCCGAGGGTGTGGGGCTTGATATGGTGGTTTTGGTGGTCAATTCTGATTCAGTGACTTCAGATGTGGTGGCTGTCACAGAGGTTGTAGGCACCAGTGGTGGTGATACAGTAGTGCTTGTTGTAGGCTGTGGCGTGGGTGATCCTGGAGTTGTGGTGCTTATGGTGGTTGTAGGTGATGTGCTTGAGGGGCTCCCTGTCCCAGTGGACACGGTCTCGTGGCTCGATGTTTCCATTATGACTGCGGTGCTATGCTGAGGGGTTCCTGAGGGTGTGGGGCTTGATGTGGTGGTTTTGGTAATCAATCCTGTTTCAGTGACTCCAGACGTGGTGGCCGTCACAGAGGTTGTAGGTACCAGGGGAGGTGATACAGTAGTGCTGGTTATAGGCTCAGGCATGGGTGATTCTGAAGTTTTGGTGCTTATGGTGCTTGTAGGTGATGTGCTTGTGGGGCTCCCTGTCCCAGTGGACGTGGTCTCGTGGCTTGATGTTTCAGTTACGATTGTGGTGCTGTGGCGAGGGGTTCCTGAGGGTGTGGGGCTTGATGTGGCAGTTTTGGTGGTCAATCCTGTTTCAATGACTCCAGACGTGGTGGCTGTCACAGAGGTTGTAGGTACCGGTGTCTGTGATACAGTAGTGCTTGTAGTAGGCTCTGGTGTGGGTGATCCTGGAGTTGTGGTGGTGGTAACAGGTGATCTTGTTAACATACTGCTAGTTGCAGTTGGTGTCAAAGGACGAGATGTCTCTGTTACCACTGTGGTAGTGGGGGCAGGAGGTCCTGAGGGTGTTGGGCTTGATATGGTAGTCTTGGCGGTCAATCCTATTTCAGTGACACCAGATGTGGTGGCTGTCACTGGGGTTGTTGATAAGGGTGGTGGTGATACAGTAGTGCTACTTGTAGGCTCTGGCGTGGGTGATCCTGAACTTGTGATGGTGGTAACAGTTGATCTTGCTGATGTACTGCTAGTTGCAGTTGTTGTCAAAGGACCAGATGTCTCTGTTACCACTGTGGTAGTGGCGGGAGGAGGTCCTGAGGGTGTGGGGCTTGATGTGGTGGTTTTGGTGGTCAATCCTGATTCAGTGACTCCAGACGTGGTGGCTGTCACAGAGGTTGTAGGTACCAGGGGAGGTGATACAGTAGTGCTGGTTATAGGCTCAGGCATGGGTGATTCTGAAGTTTTGGTGCTTATGGTGCTTGTAGGTGATGTGCTTGTAGGGCTCCCTGTCCCAGTGGACGTGGTCTCGTGGCTCGATGTTACAGTTACGATTGTGGTGCTGTGGCGAGGGGTTCCTGAGGGTGTAGGGCTTGATGTGGTGGGTTTGGTGGTCAATCCTGTTTCAGTGACTCCAGACGTGGTGGCTGTCACAGAGATTGTAGGTACCGGTGTCTGTGATACAGTAGTGCTTGTAGTAGGCTCTGGTGTGGGTGATCCTGGAGTTGTGGTGGTGGTAACAGGTGATCTTGTTAACATACTGCTAGTTGCAGTTGGTGTCAAAGGACGAGATATCTCTGTTACCACTGTGGTAGTGGGGGCAGGAAGTCCTGAGGGTGTTGGGCTTGATATGGTAGTCTTGGCGGTCAATCCTATTTCAGTGACACCAGATGTGGTGGCTGTCACTGGGGTTGTTGATAAGGGTGGTGGTGATACAGTAGTGCTACTTGTAGGCTCTGGCGTGGGTGATCCTGAACTTGTGATGGTGGTAACAGTTGATCTTGCTGATGTACTGCTAGTTGCAGTTGTTGTCAAAGGACCAGATGTCTCTGTTACCACTGTGGTAGTGGTGGGAGGAGGTCTTGAGGGTGTGGGGCTTGATATGGTGGTTTTGGTGGTCAATTCTGATTCAGTGACTTCAGATGTGGTGGCTGTCACAGAGGTTGTAGGCACCAGTGGTGGTGATACAGTAGTGCTTGTTGTAGGCTGTGGCGTGGGTGATCCTGGAGTTGTGGTGCTTATGGTGGTTGTAGGTGATGTGCTTGAGGGGCTCCCTGTCCCAGTGGACACGGTCTCGTGGCTCGATGTTTCCATTACGATTGCGGTGCTATGCTGAGGGGTTCCTGAGGGTGTGGGTCTTGATGTGGTGGTTTTGGTGGTCAATCCTGTTCCAGTGACTCCAGACATGGTGGCTGTCATTGGGGTTGCTGATACCAGGGGAGGTGATACAGTAGTGCTGGTTATAGGCTCAGGCATGGGTGATCCTGAAGTTTTGGTGCTTATGGTGCTTGTAGGTGATGTGCTTGTGGGGCTCCCTGTCCCAGTGGACGTGGTCTCGTGGCTTGATGTTTCAGTTATGATTGTGGTGCTGTGGCGAGGGGTTCCTGAGGGTGTAGGGCTTGATGCGGTGGTTTTGGTGGTCAATCCTGTTTCAATGACCCCAGATGTGGTGGCTGTCACAGAGATTGTAGGTACCGGTGTCTGTGATACAGTAGTGCTTGTAGTAGGCTCTGGTGTGGGTGATCCTGGAGTTGTGGTGGTGGTAACAGGTGATCTTGTTAACATACTGCTAGTTGCAGTTGGTGTCAAAGGACTAGATGTCTCTGTTACCACTGTGGTAGTGGGGGCAGGAGGTCCTGAGGGTTTTGGGCTTGAAATGGTAGTCTTGGCGGTCAATCCCATTTCAGTGACATAAGATGTGGTGGCTGTCACTGGGGTTGTTGATAAGGGTGGTGGTGATACAGTAGTGCTACTTGTAGGCTCTGGCGTGGGTGATCCTGAACTTGTGATGGTGGTAACAGTTGATCTTGCTGATGTACTGCTAGTTGCAATTGTTTTCAAAGGACCAGATGTCTCTGTTACCACTGTGGTAGTGGTGGGAGGAGGTCCTGAGGGTGTGGGGCTTGATGTGGTTGTTTTGGTGGTCAATCCTGTTTCAGTGACTCCAGACGTGGTGGCTATCACTGGGGTTGTAGGCACCAGTGGTGGTGATACAGTAGTGCTGGTTGTAGGATGTGGCGTGGGTGATCCTGGAGTTGTGGTGCTTATGGTGGTTGTAGGTGATGTGCTTGTGGGGATCCCTGTCCCAGTGGACATGGTCTCATGGCTCGATGTTTCCGTTACAATTGTGGTGCTGTGTCGAGGGGTTCCTGAGGGTGTGGGTCTTGATGTGGTGCTTTTGGTGGTCGATCCTGTTTCAGTGACTCCAGACGTTATGGCTGTCATTGGGGTTACTGATACCAGGGGTTGTGATACAGTAGTGCTGGTTATAGGCTCTGGTGTGGGTGATCCTGGAGTTGTGGTGCTTATGGTGGTTGTAGGTGATGTGCTTGTGGGGCTCCCCGTCCCAGTGGAGGTGGTCTCATGGCTCGATGTTTCTGTTACAATTGTGGTGGTAGGTTGAGGGGTTCCTGATGGTGTGAGTATTGCTGTGGTGGTTTTGGTGGTCGATCCTGTTCCAGTGACTGCAGACGTGGTGGCTGTCACTGGCGTTGCTGATACCGGAGGAGGTGATACAGTAGTGCTAGTTGTAGGCTCAGCCATGGGTGATCCTGAAATTGTGATGGTGCTAACAGTTGATCTTGCTGATGTACTGGTAGTTACAGTTGGTGTCAAAGGACTAGATGTCTCTGTTACCACTGTGGTAGTGGAGATAGGAGGTCCTGAAGGTGTGGGTCTTGATATGGTTGTTTTGGTGGTCAATCCTGTTTCAGTGACTCCAGACGTGGTGGCTATCACTGGGGTTGTAGGCACCAGTGGTGGTGATACAGTAGTGCTGGTTGTAGGATGTGGCGTGGGTGATCCTGGAGTTGTGGTGCTTATGGTGGTTGTAGGTGATGTGCTTGTGGGGATCCCTGTCCCAGTGGACATGGTCTCATGGCTCGATGTTTCCGTTACAATTGTGGTGCTGTGTCGAGGGGTTCCTGAGGGTGTGGGTCTTGATGTGGTGCTTTTGGTGGTCGATCCTGTTTCAGTGACTCCAGACGTTATGGCTGTCATTGGGGTTACTGATACCAGGGGTTGTGATACAGTAGTGCTGGTTATAGGCTCTGGTGTGGGTGATCCTGGAGTTGTGGTGCTTATGGTGGTTGTAGGTGATGTGCTTGTGGGGCTCCCCGTCCCAGTGGAGGTGGTCTCATGGCTCGATGTTTCTGTTACAATTGTGGTGGTAGGTTGAGGGGTTCCTGATGGTGTGAGTATTGCTGTGGTGGTTTTGGTGGTCGATCCTGTTCCAGTGACTGCAGACGTGGTGGCTGTCACTGGCGTTGCTGATACCGGAGGAGGTGATACAGTAGTGCTAGTTGTAGGCTCAGCCATGGGTGATCCTGAAATTGTGATGGTGCTAACAGTTGATCTTGCTGATGTACTGGTAGTTACAGTTGGTGTCAAAGGACTAGATGTCTCTGTTACCACTGTGGTAGTGGTAGTGGATATAGGAGGTCCTGAAGGTGTGGGTCTTGATATGGTGGTTTTGGTGGTCAGTCCTGATTCAGAGACACTGGATGTGGTGGCTGTCACTGGGGTTGTTGATACCGGCGGTGGTGATACAGTAGTGCTAGTTATAGGCTCTGGCATGGGTGATCCTGGAATTGTGGTGCTTATGGTGGTTGTAGGTGATGTGCTTGTGGGGCTCCTCGTCCCAGCGGAGGTGGTCTCATGGCTCAATGTTGCCATTATAATTGTGGTGCTGTGTTGAGGGGTTCCTGAGGGTGTGGGGCTTGATGTGGTGGTTTTGGTGGTCCATTCTGTTACAGTGACTCCAGATGTGGTGGCCGTCACAGAGGTTGTAGGTACCAGTGGTGGTGATACAGTAGTGCTGGTTATAGGCCCAGGCATGGGTGATCCTGAAGTTGTGGTGCTTATGGTGGTTGTAGGTGATGTGCTTGTGGGGCTCCCTGTCCCGGTGGACGTGGTCTCGTGGCTCGATGTTTCAGTTACGATTGTGGTGCTGTGTTGAGGGGTTCCTGAGGGTGTGGGGACTGATGTGGTGGTTTTGGTAGTCAATCCTGTTTCAGTGACTCCAGAAGTGGTGGCTGTCACAGAGATTGTAGGTACCGGTGTCTGTGATACAGTAGTGCTTGTAGTAGGCTCTGGTGTGGGTGATCCTGGAGTTGCGGTGGTGGTAACAGGTGATCTTGTTAACATACTGCTAGCTGCAGTTGGTGTCAAAGGACTAGATGTCTCTGTTACCACTGTGGTAGTGGGGGCAGGAGGTCCTGAGGGTGTTGGGCTTGATATGGTAGTCTTGGCGGTCAATCCTATTTCAGTGACACCAGATGTGGTGGCTGTCACTGGGGTTGTTGATAAGGGTGGTGGTGATACAGTAGTGCTACTTGTAGGCTCTGGCGTGGGTGATCCTGAACTTGTGATGGTGGTAACAGTTGATCTTGCTGATGTACTGCTAGCTGCAGTTGTTGTCAAAGGACCAGATGTCTCTGTTACCTCTGTGGTAGTGGTGGGAGGAGGTCCTGAGGGTGTGGGGCTTGATATGGTGGTTTTGGTGGTCAATTCTGATTCAGTGATTTCAGATGTGGTGGCTGTCACAGAGGTTGTAGGCACCAGTGGTGGTGATACAGTACTGCTTGTTGTAGGCTGTGGCGTGGGTGATCCTGGAGTTGTGGTGCTTATGGTGGTTGTAGGTGATGTGCTTGAGGGGCTCCCTGTCCCAGTGGACACGGTCTCGTGGCTCGATGTTTCCATTACGACTGCGGTGCTATGCTGAGGGATTCCTGAGGGTGTGGGTCTTGATGTGGTGGTTTTGGTGGTTGATTCTTTTTCAGTGACTCTAGACGTGGAGGATGTCACTAGGGATGTAGGTACCGGTGGTGGTGATACAGAAGTGCTGGTTATAGGCTTTGGTGTGGGTGATCCTGAAGTTGTGGTGCTCATGGTCGTTGTAGTTAATTCTATGAATTTTTGAAATATAAATCAATGTCACTCCTTTAGCGTGAGTATTAAAACACATATTAGGGTGGCAATAAAATGATTTTTATCACAATATAAGCAAACAAATATAAGTAATGTACCTACCCTGTCGTTCTGTAGGAGGAGCTGTTGGTGTTATGGTGATTATTTGGGGGGTTGTTGAGGTGGGAAGAATGCTTTCTGATGTCTCCTGGGTGCTGATGGTGGTGGTGGTGGGAGGCTCTGATGGTTTTGGCATGGGAGCGGTTGTTGACATAGATGGAAAGGACCCTGTGCTCATTGTGGATGAAGGAAGGGCTGTCGTGCTGCTCGTGGTGGCACTTGTGGGAATGCACTCTGGTATGTTGGGGATGCAGCAGACACTGATCTCATAATTGAGGCAGACCGGCATCAGCATTATGCCTCCTATGACCTGATCGCTGTTGTTACAGGTCAGCCCCGTGTTAACACTGCATTCCACCTTCTGCCCTAAATCCGCAATGGGAATGGTAGGGAACTTTTCTGCTCTGCATGAAATATTCTCTGCTTTCACACAGACCCAGGAGGGGTTGTTCTTCAGAATATTCTCAAAGGTTTCATAGTCACCACTGTTTCTGTCAGAACTATCTGGGTAACTCACATCAATCCAGTCCGTCCAGACACAGTCACATTCTGGGGGGGGGTGACACAAAAGGAAAAATCAGAGAACAGATACAGAAAGCCAGAGCACCAGCACACTCGAGGGTGGTGCCCTGTGAGTCCAATGCACACAAAGGTGCCCCTCGGGCACTGCTACACCAGTATTTAACCCTGGCGCAACAGAGTCCCTTGTGTGGACAGGCCTCTCTTTAATGGCCCAACAAAGCACACACAGGCACGTGTGTTTCCCTCACAGCTAGAGCATGTTGCTCTATTGGGCTTCTCGAGTGCAAAGACTGCGCACATAAAGGGCCACAGATGAGGTAGAGCAGGACAAAGCAGGGACTCCCACCACTCTCTAACCTTCTGTTGCCACTCACACCACCTCATTATCCCAGAGAGAAACCAAGCACTTGGTAGGGTTGTGAGCACATAGGAAGCAGGCACAGGACACCTGCTGCTGCTGAAACTTCAATGTGCTTCCCGGCAGCACACAGACAGATGGAAAACAGCAGTCCTGGGAACGCTGTGAGAGTCCAGCTGCCCAGAGCACAGGTTCAAGGCAAGGGGCAATATGTGTTCCGAAACCTTTCCCCAGCGCCTCGTGGAGAAAACCTTCAAAGCTTCGTACAGACAGAACCACAGGTGAGTGGCAGCAATGGCCACAGAGGCAACACAAGAGAAGAAAGCAAAGAAACTCTGCCCAGCTCTGCCCAAACAGCACCTGGAATGATAATGCCACAAAACCAAGCTCCACTCCCACTGCACACCATGGTGCCTGCTGAGTACATTCTCTCTTGCTGAAGGATGAGGTCAAGCAGCAAAAGCAAGATTTCCCAGCAGCTCAGTACCTGTCTAAGCTGTGGGCAGAGGCACCAGCACAGAAAATACCCTCAGGGCTCTCTTCAGCCAAGGAACACAAGACTTTCTACCCAGGACACTGCACCCTCCTCACCACTAAGCCAGCCACACCAAGGGCTAACTTTGGGCACTTGTCATTTCAGGGAACACACAACAACTACTCCCATCCTTGATCCCAGACAGAAGACACAAGCTGAGGTGCTCACGAACCTTCATTTCTCCCACAGCAAGGCAACACACGAGAGCACAGACTAGACAAGTACCTGGAGGTGGTGTGGTGGTGGTGTATGTTGGCGTGGGTGTGGATGTGCTCGCAGTAGTTAGGGTAAGTGTTGATGTGGCAGGAACGGTTGCTGATGTCCCCGCAGTGCTGCTGGTGGTGGTGCTGGGGGGCGTCGTGGTGCTGGGGGGCATCAAGGTGCTGGCAGTGCTACTGGGAGGCTCTGATGGTGTTGGCATGGGAGTGGTTGTCGACAGGGGTGGAAAAGACCCTGTGCTCATTGCGGATGAGGGTCTTCCTATTATAAATAGTGGTGATAGAGAAAACAGGTAAGTTACAAAAGACCTGAGTGGGACATAATGTGCATTGAAAAGAAATGATGTGTTAGGGAGGTGCCACTGACCTATATCCGTCACCCCACTCTTACCACTGTAAAGTTCTGTTTCTCTAGTCCTTCTAGTCTGGCCCTAGAAGCAAACTAATTCAAAATTACTGCGCAGACAAGGTCATGGCAATGTTTTTCTCGCATTTTTGAATTAATAAGTCGCACATTACACATTGCCCCTGTGTTTTTTCTAGAGATACTGCTGTAATGTTCTTCTCAGTAAGCAAAATTACCTAATAATAGGTAAGACTATGAGGAGGAGTTAGGCTGTGTGAAGCTTTCTATCCCTGGCTTACTACTTGGAACATCTTGCTATGTCATGAAGTAATAATTAAGAGGGGAAGCTGTAGTCTGGGAAGGAAGTATGCATAAGAATATGTTCCAGTCTAATTGTCATGTCATTTCCCTGCTGTGCAATGCCAGCCTGATGAAGGGTATTTACAGAGTACTAGCAAACTTTAGCATTGCTAGAGGGAAAACAGAAGGAGAAATAGAAGGAATTCTGTCAAGCTCCTCCCAGATAATGCCTAGAATGATGGTACTCTAAATCAAGGCCTAGCCTAGTCTCACACAATGGGACCTTCTGGAAGTCTCTAGCAGGAGGAGAGACACCCAGACCAGCATAAATAAGACTTCCTGCCAGCTCAGGATGTGCTATGAAAATGACATGCCTTTGGTAACCGACAGCCCTGTATTTCTACTATACAAAGCAAGAGTAGAGAATATTGGTCTGTTAAATACCTGGAGAGGTTGGAGTTACTGGGGTGGTAACCGACGGTGTGAATTCGCTTGTGATTGTTGAGGTGGGTATGGATGTGGTGGTAATTGTTGTTGGCTGCCTGGCTGTACTGGTGATGGGTACTGTTGTGCTAGTGGTGGTTGCAGTTGCAGTTTGTGTTGGATGCTGTGTACTTGTAGTCTCACAAGAAATTTCATGCCACTCACAACAATTTACCCTGATTTCATAATTATAACAAAGTTGCCAAATAGTTGCATCTTGCTCCTCATTTTTACAGATTAGTCCATATGTAACATTACACTCCACTTTCTGGCCAAGTTCCTCTAAACTAACATCTGGATTATCTTTAGCCCTGCATTCAATATTTTCAGGAGCTTCACATATTTTGTTTCCATATTGATTTCTTATTGCATCGTAGGTTTCATAGTCACCACCATCCTCTTCAGGTTTACTAACATCAAACCACTCAGTCCAATTACAGATTAAACCAAAGCATGGAGCTGCAAGAAAAGAGAGATTCATCATTGAGCTTACAGAGAACATTCTGTGAAGTTTGATTTTGTATTCTACTTCATAAGAGACTAGAGCAACCCATTGCAACTAGTAATTTTTCAAAATGAGAAAATATTTCTTTCTGTAGAGAAAAAGAGCTCTACAGTTTGTTCTATATTACGAGGTTTTTCAATAGGAAGATTAATATCAAAATAAAATCACCAAGCAGAGGCCTTTGAAAGTCATCTCTCTACACTTACTGTACTTTTGCAATTAAAAAATTTCTTTTTTTGTTTTATACATATTTTTCCTATAGTGGCCATCTTCAATTTATTTCTAATTTAAGCATTCTTTTGACATTTTTTAACGTAGTTTTCTATTTAAAACTTACTTGTAGTTATTGGAGGGCTTGTAGTGGTAACTGAAATAGAAAAAAATTAGAGTACATCATCTGCAAAGTTAGAAAAACTATAATAGTAGTTTTAAATATCCTAATTATATTTTTTTTGCAGACACTACTGATAAAACTTCTTCTATCTCAGCAGGGTTTTGAAATGTTAACGGGTTTTTCAGAATTAGGAAGGCACAATCTACATTTATAGTTACAATTTCTTCCATTTAAAGTAAATTAACTCAGTGTTTTAAAAATCTTAGTGTGCAGTGATAAAACTATTCATAAGTATTGCTCCATTTGTGTCAACTATGAGGCCATATACTTGTACTTCTATCTTTAAAGAATTTTACTTAAAGAAAATAATTTTTAGATGTACATCTCTGTTGAAGTTTTACCTGTGGTGGTTAGAGTACTGGTAGGAAAGGAGGTTGAAATGGTTGTAGGTGAAGTAGATGTCGGGCAAGGATAAGTACTTCCAACAACTATAGAACCATTTTCTGCACAAACGTATGTGATGCATATGTTACCATCCTGTATTTGTGCCACAATTTCACCCACTTCATAACTTGTTCCGTTGATGACACAAGGACATCCTGCAAGAAACAGCTTTACTGTGCAATTTGTCTACTACTTGGTAAGAGACAAAGCCTCTTATTATTTATGGACAAGTAAGCACTTACATGATTCAGGCATGCTCTTTTCAGATCTATATGTGGAGCTTAGATCTAATACATGGCACTAATTTATTTTGACATTTAGAGGAACATTAAAACATTAAATAAAGCCCTGCATAAAACACTTGGAAGAACAGAGTTACAAACCAGGTCTTAAAATGTTCTTCAAGAAATAACAACTGCAGTTTACCATCTCACGCTTTTCTACAATAATACATGTTCTCTAGAACATGTAGAAATATTCATTTCACTCTTGTAGTGAAATCCATTAGTTTGGATATGGGACACTGGGAGAAAGAATAAAGGGAAGTGAGAAGAAGTTTGAACAAGAAATACTAACAGCAAGGTTTAACAAAAGTGCTGCCCAATTTTCTTTGGCCACAACTTTCTTGCACTGAAAAGAATTATTCCAAACCTGTACTAAGTCTTTTGTAGAGACAGATGTAGCAGCTCCATCCATTTTTTTTTTCATTAACTTGTAGAAAAATTAAATGTTATTTACCTGGGATTGGTGTACACTGTATAGATCCTGAGGGACCACAGACACTAAAAGCAAAATTTTCAAATATTAACATATTGCAGATGTTTTATGGCACCTGTTAGCAGAGCCAAGACCATAGAATTGTAGAAATTTGTCATTTAATCTTTATTCATCCTACAGGATATTTTTCTGGGTGTAATATTTTCCAATATTACCTATCATTATTTCATTTAAATTAAGTCATCACTTTCATTCTTTAAGTACATCTTAAAATTATCATGAATCGCTATGTGTTGCAAGTTGCAATACTGCAATATTAGCAACTGCTTTTCAGGGCAGCGAACTTATAGATAGATAAGGGGTGTTTTGTGTGTCTATGGTCACCATGTAGAGTCATAGATGTCACTGCTATCATTAGTAAGGTTCTAGGGGTAAGCAGTTAAGACTCAGCTATCTCTTTCAGGGCTAAAAAATTTCAGGTTACAGTGAATCTGAAATCCCAGTTTTAAGTGAGAATGCAAGGCAGAGTAGGCCCTCTCTACTAAGAGAGAGCAATGAGAATCAAAACGTTATAGAGACACATCCAGGTTTCATGTCATTAATTTTTTTAGGACACTTAAATATACTACTGCAATCATTAACACACCTATTATAATGACACTATCAATTTGAAATATGGATTATTATGGGTTTGGAAAATTACGAATGAAAAGTTTATAATATATACGTACGGTAATTGCCCCATTTTTTGAATCTAAATCTCAACTGGAATAGTTGGCATTGATGCTATTACTTGTACAGATAAATACTAGAATATTCCAGCTCTTCAGTTGAACTTGCATCTCTATTTGCTTGAAGCCCAGCTAAGTAAATGAGGGCCTCAGCATACATAAATTCTTTCCTAAAATACTGCAAAAATTCTGCAATTTTTTTATTTACCATTTTGTACAGTTCTCTTCTGTGGTTATTTCATGCCCAGGAGGAACATGAGTTCCATTGATGTAACACCAACATTGATCTTCAGTCACACATTCCTTTGTCTCTTCATTATAAACAGGCTTGTCATCAGGGCATCTGGGATAGCAACCTGTTGATGACAAGCAGAGCAGTATGCAGGATGAAGAAAAAGTATAAAGAATTAACTCAATGATAGGATATCTTCTGAAGGTAAATGATTCTCACTGAATAAAGCATAGCTAATAAAACAGAAAATTTCCAATTCAAATTAAACCTTAGACAGTAAGTCTTTCCAAAAGACATCAAAAAATTCTTACTGATAATACTGGGGTGAGGAGGATTAAATCAGAGCTTAGTCAAGAAAACTAGAGAAGTTGTTTTTTTCCTAGTTTGAGATCTTGGAAAAATCCCTAATTTATATTAATTTCTATGGGCAGCTAGTAATTTTAAGACAAAGAAATACCCCCATTTTTCTACAGATATTGAAATGTCATCACTGTATCAATAATAATTCAGTAAAGAATATGGAAGTGGATTCATTAACAAACAAGTTTTTCACTACATTTATTGGAACACTAGACCTTGCTTATGCACCTTCAATAGATCAGGTATCTCCATCCCAAACAGATAATTTATCTGCATTTTTGTGCACCCTTGCCCAGTGACCTAAACCCCAGTTGAAACGGATTAATTGTATGTCAATTCTCATTGCATTTTTCATGTAAATACATTTAAAAAAATATTCTATCCTGCTTCCAAATAAACTTTTGTAAAATCCAATGCTTAATTGCATAAATTCTATTTATCGTAGAATTATAGAAAGGTTAGGGTTGGAAGGGACCTTAAAGCTCATCTAGTTCCAACCCCCTGCCACAGGCAGGCATACCTTCCACTAGCAAAGGTTTCTCAAAGCCCCATCCAACCTGGCCTTGAACACAGCCAGGGGTGAATCCAGGGAAGATCCACAACTTCTCTGGTCAACCTGTTCCAGTGTCTCAAATAGCCTATGAATTTAACGACCAACTAATTAACTGATATTTAAAAGTTGCTTCATACTCTTAGACAGTATTAAAGAAGCTGTAACAAAAGTAAATGTGCTCTATATTTCCACTGGAAAAAAAAATATAGAAAGATAATTGGATATCTAATGATCTGCCTTCTGACACTTTCCAAATCCTTCTAATAATCTAAAATAATCTATTTCAAAACATGGAATTACGTTTTTTTTAAAAAAAAAGAAAAATATGTTTTGGTTAGGGTTTTTCAGGGTTTTTTGTTTGTTTGTTTTGTTACCAGCAGTTCAAGGATTAAAGTAACATGTAAAGTAACTACAGGAATTTCTTTATGATCTCTGAACTGCAGACAACTGCTTCCAGTCCAGATCAAAAAGACTGTGAGGCCAAAAAAGTCGCTGTTTTCTCCAACTTTATCATGTGGTAAAACAGATGATATTTGTAAAGCCATTCACATTATTGGATCATTGCAGTCCCCTAACATAAGATTCTTCTTCAGTTACCAAACAAAATGACTTTCACATACTAATATATCTAAATATGGAGGTAGCCACCAGTAGCCCTCTGAAATCAACTAAAGATGGAGGTAGCCCCCAGTAGCCCTCTGACAACATATAACAGCATCGGTGTGTCTGATATCAAATATATTTTCCTTTTAAAGATAAGAGGATGCTGCACATTAATAAAGTCAAGATGGATTTGATTCATAAAGAATGATGAGGTTAAAACCCCCTAGATATCAGTAACTTGCTTCTTTACCATGTAAAAGGTTTCTTTCTCTTGAAATGCCCTTATGATGGGATGCAAAATAACAATGGTGTAATAATCTTGCATATTTAAGGATATTATCCAAGCAGAGACCTAGTTTTATGGCTACCAGGAATGTAACGATCATCCACTGATGTTAATACATAACAAATTACATTGTATGAAACATTTATATAAGACTGGAGATAAATTCTATATAACAGATACAGAAATATTTATGAAGCTGATTCGTCAAGATGATGGACTATTCCACCATTATCACACGGTACCTGAACAAATGTATATGAAATAAAATACAAAAATGTCAAGGAATTTACCTTCCAGGTATGGTATTGAAAAGTTGGTGCTGACATGATTAATTATCCTGCAAGTCATGATATTAGCGCCACAAGGCTCATAGTGCCAGTCACACTCATTACGAGGGTTGTAGTAGTCACAAAATATCGCTGAAGAGAAAAAAAAAGAGAAGCTGGATAAAAGTGTAGTTGCCAGACTGCAGCTCTGATCAGATCTTTAAAGGTACAATCTAAATGAATCTACATGTTAAGCTAACAAAATTTCTTTTGAGGTATAGGACCTGGACTTTCTGCTATTAAACTTAGGATACATAAAATTTTATATTATTAATGATTTATTTGATAGGTTTCCTGACAGCAGCCAGAAAGATAAAGTTGTGTTTGATTGTTACTCACGGCATATATCAGGAGTTCTCCAGAAAACACAGGCCTGGTGCTTGGTACATTCTTGAGCATATGCAGCAACTGCAGAACAGAAGCACTCACAATCTCCACCACTGTCACAAGAGCAAGCATCATGAACACAAGCTTCGTAGAAAGGAATTGGGTCCACCTGACGGGGAAAGAAATGATCCCCCAGCTCATCTCCAAATTAGTTTTCAAACTAGTAAGCTTGAAAGATCTCCTGAGATATGGGAATTGAGCTGGGCAGTAATGAGACTGTTTCTAAGAACTACCAAATCACAAAGATTATAGGCTTCCAGCTGCTTAATATATTTCGGATAATAATTTGGATAACACAGTACTTTCATAATTTGCTATGACTGAAAAAATTAGAGTCCTTGTCTGTGCCCACATTTTTTAACAGAGTTACATTTTACTGCTCTCAAAACCAAGTTTGTTTAATGCCAATGAAGTCTAACCTTCCAATAAGCTTTGCCAACCAAGTGGTGACTAATAACAGAAAGACATATTAGCAAAATACTTTTTGTTTGGGACTGCAAGAAGAGTAACTTAGTCTGGATTATAGCTGCTAAAGGAATCAACATAGAAACACATATTAAGTTAATTAAATTAGTAATTCTTTGTGACTTTTCCACTGTGAGTTAAGAAGAAACTGTTTTTAATATGACCATACTTAGGAAAGAGACAAGAAGTAGAGGGCACTGCTCCCTGTGCACTGTAGTCTGGAGGCTGTTGGCTTGACATGGCATATGAGAATTTGAGGCACATTACCAGTGGCAAAGCTAGTAAATGACTAAACTGTACAATGTCAGTCGTTTCCAACCTGGATTCCTTCTGTGGGTTGAATTTAACAAGCAGCAGTGGTCTCTCCAACAGCCACCTTTCAAGCATAGTATGTTGCTTCTGTCAGAAGAGGGGTCTGATGATTACAAGACCTTTCAGAAATTACAGTATGCTAGTCTCTCAGGAAGAGATAGTGTAACTGCAGTACACACAGACCTATTCAGGCTAGATTTATAAAGCTAACTTGCATAGCAGAAGCTGTGAAACTGCAGGGACGAATATGGGCTTGTACAGCCAGGGGTGATGCCAGTACTGATACAGTCACATTGCCACAGATACTCAAACTACTTTGACTAAGGCTAGGTAAAATGTGTTGACACCTGTAGCTGTACTGAAGACTTAATTTAATATAACTATTTAGCCACTTCATTTTTGACAGTATCTGTGCTTCTGCAGTAACGGAAATGCACCATGCTGTCCCGTCACTTACTGCCCTCTACAAACCTTGGAGTGACAAATTTTAAAGACTTCACTCTGGATGATGCTGCATTCTTTCTCTGCCCAGGACTTCCGATGTGGATTTACATCACAGGGCTTTATCTCTTCTGTAACATCTGGGCACATGGAAGACTGTTTCCAGGAATTCCCAAACTTTAGAGCACTAGTGTCCTGCAGCCCACTCCTTGTTGTAAAGTCATTGTTAGACTTGTCATCAAAGTTGCCACACAGACCACACACTTTGCCCTGGAAAAAAAATTAACATATCCACAGATTTTAAATATACTACAGAAGTGAGAAACAGACTCTAGTGAAGTAAAACATTGACATTAAAGAGGACAACTGACTCTCTGTGTAACCAGCATTTTCATCTTTACTTCCAAATAATTTTAACAGAAAATTATAAATAAATATAAAATTTGTATTTGTTTATATAGTAAACATCTCTCTATATAAATAATTATATTTATAAAATAAAATTATAAAAAATATAAAATAAATAAACCTTTATTTGTCTGTGTACTCAGCAAACTATTCAGTTGCCATGTCTTCCTGACTTGAAACCCATTATATCTAGTGTATTTCCATGTCACTGTGGCATCTTTTCATCCAACTTATAACACTGCAGAGTGTGTAAAACTCTTTCAGCTGAGAAGAATTCATTTATTTTCATTTTTCTCAATTTATCATCACTCAGCTATATTAATATAAGCCTGAGTGAGTTTTATTCTGCTCAAAACTGTTTTTATTTAAAACTTCTAACATCATGAGCACCACTTAATCCATGGGGAAAAAAAAATGACAGGGACTCATTTTTCTTGAAAGAAAGAATTTAGCAACTTACAACAGTGAATTTTTGGTAGTGCTATTTAAGGTACATCAGCCGCCTTAAGGAACATCTTGTTTATACAGCCCCACACCTCCTTATTCACCACAATGAATCTCGTAGTGTATAACTCAGCATGCTGATTTTCAGAAATCAGAACCATCTCCAGACACTGCATGGGGAGACTGGTTTTAAATCAGGGCTGAGATTCTATGCAGGTTTCCAAATGCATGTATTGTCAATCTGCATTCCCTAAATTACTTTGGATGTTTAGTTCTTAACATTTAAAAACTCAGAATGCCTTAGAAGTTTAGTTTTATTGCAATCACATGCTATGCATCCTCTGCAATGCATCATGATGGACAGTAAGGAACTCCAGTAGCACTTCTGCAAGCTGTGATAGTAATATTGCAAGCTAATAATCAGTGTGCACAGGATATAGGAATCAAACATGGAGTCAGAATAGAACAACATATATGTCTCCTTATCTCACTGATCTATTCATACTACTACTTCAGGAAAAGGACAGACAGGTCCTAACTTTGTAATCAGGGGTCAGCTTGATGAAAACAGTAGTCTTCTTATCCCAGATAAGCATCACACCATTGCTAGCCTCAATAACGAGGTAGAGGCCTACTGTCTTGTTCCAATAATGTACATCATCACCAGTATCTCGCTGAATTTCTTTATAATCTTTGTTCTCCAATTTCAATTCAGTTTTCTGAAAGATAAAAGAGAGAACTATTATAACATTAACTTTTATGATGAAAAAAATATTTATATGTTCATAACAATGCAAGTAATCTGAAACCAATAGCTCAAAGTCTAGAATGACTTTCTGAGACGACAGGAAGTAGTGTAGCAATTTTGTTTGACAGAGGTTCTAGTACCTGAGAATCTACGCTTTTACCGATAAATTTGATAGGGCCTCTAACCTTTGCTTGTGATAGCTTCTTTTAGGGATGTGGCTTTGGAGCAGTACTTTCATTTTTTTAATACTTGAATACTGATATTCACTGACCATCATTACTCACCCCTAGAAACATTTTAATAGCCTTTGAGCAGGTAACTCCTGTAGTTCCACAAGGGACATTCTCTGTGATGATACTGAATGAGCCGCTGGAATTTCTGTCACCACAAAAATCCTATAGAAAAAGTTAAAAATGAGCATAAGAAGATTAGGTAGAATATTTAATTTTTAGTTCAATCTCATACTAATTAGAATCATTTAAATCTCCACAATGAATACATTGTTACTGCTGCTTCATACGTGAAATCCTACATATATCTATTTTTACAGATGCACAAACATATCCATATACCTCTCTGCATACATATAAATATTTCAGAGTCTAATGTGTGGCAAAACCTGGGAAAGAAGTGGGACAATAAAACAAAATGAGGAATATATCTTTAAATATAAATATCTTTGTTTCATAAACTTAAGAATTTTGGTTTATTTGACAACTGATAATGAGTTGTTAGTGCTCACTATAAAAACAGTCCTCTTACATAATACAATTTGTGACTGCTGTATCAAAAAAAGCCCACACTCACACAGCTTGATGGCACTGAAAATACAGAATTTCAGAATTTATCTTGGCAGAATGTGCAAACACCTCAGGAAGACTGATGAAAGGCAATAAGAAATGACAAAACCAAGAAGAAAAGGATATCGTCAAGGCAATCAGATGCCATTTCAGCACCCCTGATAAGCACTACCTGAGTAGCCACATATTCACAGCTTCCATCAAAGTCATAGAATTTTCCATCAAAGGTGATATAATGGCCACTTCCATATATCATACAAGTCCCATAGCACACATCTTCAGTGCAGCTCCAAACCCCTTTTTGGCAGGTACTAGAAGAGAACAGAAGAGTTGAATTTTCAGATCTCACCAAGAGTGTGTTGTTTGGTAAACTACAGAATAAACCGAATCCTCAACCACCTGATAAAACATGACAATGTGCACAATACCAATTCCAGTGTTACAGAGGGTCTTAAATTTCAACTTCAATAGTTTATCCTGGGTTTAACCCTATAACATGATTTTTAACTCTGGCTAGCTACATTTTTCAGATCTGATAGTGTTCATATTCAAAAAAAGAGTGTACTTTCCTAATAAGAGATACCAACTGAAAACAGAAGTAACTATTACCCAACATTTTCAGCACAATATGTGTTTCCTCAGATAGCAAACAGCATGCCTGAAAATAAAGTTTTATACTTGCAGCTACTGCAGCCACTGTAGTACATAAGCCTACACATGGCTATTAATTTACTGCATAGAATATATTCTAGAAGACAGTACAAAATTATAACTTACCAGATGTTGCAGTCCACTGTTACCTGCTGTCCAGGAGAATACCACTGGTTGTTATGAATGCATGGGCAGTCCTTCTCCTCCACACAGCCCCCTTTCCCATCATCAAATAGACCCTCCAGACACACACAGCCTGAGACACACTCTGCCTGGAACTAAGAAATCGGAGCAAAAATTGTTAATTTATGAAAAAGCACTGCATATTATTACCAAATGAGTAATATTATTTGGGATAAAAGAAGATTAAACCAAAGAGAAATCAACTGCTAGTTACAACTGCATTTTCTGTGTTGCACTGTGTCATTTAAAGAATATAGAATAAAGGAAACATGACATGGAGAAAAACTAAATACATACATGATCAGTTTGAGGAGTGTGGCAGCTAAGTTGTACAGGTGTTTGTGAATTCCAGCTTGGGGATGCATTGCAGTCAAAGTACGTCTTGTTAGAAGAACATTCTGTTACACCTGAAAGGTATTTTGCTGGTTTGGATGAACCCAGAAAAGGCAAAATAAATGTGTGAAAGTTGGTAGTTACTGAGACAGAAATCTCAGGGTATGGCTATCCTTATTAAAAAAAAAAAGCTCAGTGAAGACAGAACAAATTGAAAATGTCTAACTGTTTCACATAAAGATAAAAAGCAAACACACAAAACAATGAAGTGGAAAATTCAATCGAAAGTGTAGGTTTGGGTTTGGAGGTTGAGTTATGGCTTTTATTTTAGTTTACTTTATAGAATGTCACTTACTTTGCATTCTTACTGTCACTGAAGTACACTGGATCTTTGCATTTCGGCAAACACTAGAAAAGTGAAGAAAGTAGAAATTAAAAAAAAAAGTAAGGTCAGTGTCTTCAATTTAAATCTAAGAATTTATTAATACAAATTTGAGAGTATTTATTAGTATTTATTATGCATAATTTCTATGGATATTTCAAGGTGAGCACTACTGAGGTCACGAATTTCCACTAGGAGAAAAAACACAGCAAGATTTTAGGCATAACGTGCTGGAAGGTTATCTTTTAAGCTATTCTAAGACAGCTATTCTACTAATCCTTAATACTGAGCTTTTTGATGGCTCAGGAAACACACAATAATGAAATGGATAATAATGAGAATTTAAATCAAAACCTTCATTTGGATAAACAATACATTTTCATGCCTATTTAACTCATACGTTGCAATTTTGTTGGCCTGTATGCTTCATCTGCTGAATAAGAGAAGTATTTCACAGTTTGCACTGATGATTCATGCAGCAAACAGTTGTCAATTAATGATAAAAAATACCAGCATTGTGGAAGTTCCTTCCAAAAGCCTATGCTACAGTAAATACATATCAAGGGAACCTTCCTTCAATGGAAAACACAAGCAATCTGTCCCTGACAGAAAAGAAAACAGCAACATAAAATTATAGACAGACTTTTATCTTCCTCTTACCCCTTTGCTCAACAAAGGCTTATTAACAGTGTAAGTTCAGAGTAATGTTTATCTGTGAAGACCAGTACTTTGACCTCCAAACAGTGCCGCATTTCTCAATTATTAATAAATTGCATTGCAACATGATGATGCTTTGCTCAGCATGAAGATGTTGTGAAATGCATTACAAGTGCTTATTAAAGCACCACAAAAATTTAAGGAACTTATACCTAATAAGTAAATTTTAAAAGGGCTTTTATCACCCACAAAAAAAGCCACAGTAAAGCATACCAGCGTTCCCCATCTTTTGTGACATATTCCCCTGGTTCCAGGTATGATCCCTTGTAATAACATGGGCACTTGGAGATGGGCACACAGGTATCCTGGTTATCCAAGTATGTATTATATGGGCACCCACAGCCATCCACAGGAGCCAAGTCTTGCAAGCAATGCTTTTCACCATCAGCAAAGGAACGACAGGTTTGCTGGCACATTGTAAGGTTGTAAAGGAAGATTTGATTTCCTGGGCAGGCAGACACTTCACTAGCTGGAGGGAAAATAAACAAACTGATAATTAGGGGATGCAGGGTGGATAATTTAACCATGACATTTCCATTTGGTTTCTTTGGCTGTGCAGCATGTAAAGGTAAAAATACTTCCTGAGGTTTTATTTAAGTAGCAGTCAAAAGGAAGTCTTCAACAGGTATCCTAAGTCAAGTAACATTGGCCTAACTTTGTTTACCTGTTGAAGACTTCCTTTTGATTGCTACTAATAGTTTCTACTTTCATACTCATATTTGTTCCACACACTGATAATCAGAGGGAGAGCACAATGTAATAAACTCCTAGTCTCAACAATACTATACTTTTGATGAAAAGGAAGCACAATGATAAACAAAGACACTGATAAACAAAGACAATGTAAAAGCCATGATGGATGTGATTTCATTAGTCAAAGATAGAAAGATAATAAAAATTATTATTCAAATGGGGAAAAGAAAGTGAAAGTGAAAAACTTCGCTTGCTAATTATAAATATGTCATGAATAAATGACAACTAAAAAATGTAACATGAATTAGTAAATTTTATAAGCATTATCTCTTTTAAGTCCATTAGACATTTCTAAGATACTCCAAATCCTTTAACATTGCGATCATTGACAACAAAATTCAGAGAGAACCCACTTACATCTCATGGCTAAATAATTCCACATGGATTACAGTTCCACTACTTACTGCAGACACTTTGCCTCCAGCCTCCCAGTATGATCCCTTTGAAAGCACAGGCTCTTGAGTAGGAGGACAGGGCAGCACACAAGCATTCTTCACTGTCTTCACAGAGGCAGGTGTCATATTTACATTTCTGAAAAAAGAGAACAAGGGTCAGTAAGCCCACAGGAAACCAATGGTCAAACTGCAACTCAGTTGCTACAAAATATTCTGTGTCCTTTTTTTGATGTTGTTCTTATTAATTCCTATGCTTGGAGAAGTATGGAAGGAAAGGACAAAGACCAGGGACTGAAAGTGCTGCAAAGAAATAGAAATTCCTTTTTACGCAGGTAGGCCTCATTTACTGCTCAACAGTGATGAACACGAGGGGAACAAAACTGCATAATTTTGGCACAAAAGAAAATTTGCTGTTACATTGTAACCAACACAGGAAACGTAATAAATATATAACTTTTTTTCCCTGACTTATTAGCAGCTAATGTGTAAGGGTAGACTTAAACTTTCTGTGCATCTCTGCATCTCTTGAATCTTCTTTCCAGTTCAAATATCCAGTCTAATGAAAATGTACATTAAATACAAAACGTAAGACAACAGAAGAACAAATTTATCTTTTTCTTCAGCAGCACTCGGCAAGAAACTCATCATATGAAATAGTTCTAATGCGTGTTATGCTGCCTCAGTTAATCACTGCAAAAGCCTCACCAGCTGTTACGGGCAAGCTACTCAGTAATGTCTCAAATGTTTGAACAATAATAAATGTCTACAGTCACCCATCTGAAATAAGGCAGTACTAAAAGAGTTCAAGATTACAATACCTTATAGTATTCTGACGGATCAATGATTAAGTGACATTTCGCAAAAGGACCCTCTGAGTTTTTCAGCAAAGAACACCAATGCTCAGCATAATTTGCTGCAAAGAAAGAGAAAAATTAAATTATATCATTACATTCATTATATTCACTTATCTTCCTTGTGCCATGTCTAGTTATGTTGTCACATAACTGCAATACAATGATACAAATGAGAGAACTGCATGCATTTTAGGGAGAGGAGAAACTATATGCAATCACTGTACATGTATTTCTGTTCTCATATTCAATTATCTAGCGGTAGACACAGTCATAAAATCAAACATTGTATTTTTCTGCTGCAAGTTGTCTACATGGAATTGTGACAGCCCTTATTCAGAGATCACAAAGCTAAATTAAACATAGGGTGAAATAATACTAGGAAATGCAAGCTGCCTTTGCAGAGAATATAAATTAATGACCTTGTTTCCCTGCCTTCCAGCTCAAGATTCCTCTGCAATCACCCCCTAAATCTTCACTTCAGGGATCCTATGTATACATACTTGCGGAAATTAATTATTAATTTGACGGTCCTCTAAAAAAAACCATCAGTGCCACACTACAACGCTTACTTGCCTGTTGCAGTAATATACAGCAACTATCTGACTTATTAATGTGCTTACCACTTTCAATGCTGAGACTGCAGGGGTCTTCCAGCTTTTCTGCCTGGTCTGTACAGGTGGATTGAGCCTTCCATGTGTTAGCAAAGGCAGATCCTGTAGCTTCTACCAGCCCACTGGTTGTTTTAAAGTCATCACCTTCCATTCCATTAAAGTTTCCACAAAGACCTATTGAAAAAGATGGCAAAAAAAATCACATAATCATTACTCATTCTCATTCAAAGGTCAAAGGGAAAGCAATGGTTCATCACAAATATTAGAATTGAAGTTCATACAGCTGATAATTCCACTGTTATATTAATGCACACTATAAGTAGTGAAGATTAAGGAGCCCTACTTTAAATCTTTACCTCTTGAGAAGAATAGTTTTCATGAAGATATCACTGCTTCAGAAGACCACCATCCTGTCCTGTATGTTTTATGCTTTCTGATGACATTAAAACCACAAATTACACCAAAAGCCTGATTTTGTGACTTGTTAAAAAAGAAACTGAATACAACAGTAAGGAATATTCTAGGAAACATTCACGTACTGGCACTGGAGTGATAGGTGACTTCAATGTGAAATAATAAAAATGCATTTCTAGTTTGCTTGAGTCAATTCTCTTTCAATGTTTTGGTTTCTGTTTTCATTTTCCTCCTCTTGAATCAGTAAGTAGCATGAATTATTACCCATATATGAATACATGACTCTTCAGCTGTGGTACAGCATGGCTTTGCTTCCCATTTGACTAGATACTTACCTTGAAGTTTTCCTTGAACTGATTGATCCACAGTTGCAAACAGCTGCATGACTGGAAACAATTGGATTTGCAGCTGAAGCCCAAAAGAAGTTTGTACAACAAGGTAGTAGGAAGATGGCTTGAATACCGAGAAGCTGGCTGAAAACACAAAATATGAACTGTGCGGTAAACACAGGATGCCAAAAGAAACACTTACTAGATTCTAAGTTATAACCTGCCATGAAATCTCTGAGGTGAGGCTCAAAGTAATCATTTCTTTCCTCTAAAAATTGCTGGCTATCTACATACAGTGCTCGTCCTCACAACTCCACACTGGCAAACTCACTAAATGTGAATTTGACTTCTGCATCCAGATGGTTTATAAAAACATTAAACATCACTAGCCCTAAAACTGAGCCTCACTGGGGAGCCTCACTGGTGACTGTCTGCCAGCCTGTTGTAACCATATTTACTGTAACTCTGAGAACAACCTGTCAGCCAATTGTTCACCCAACCTATTATGGGCTGTCTGCTGGACATTTTGTACAGAAGGATAGTCTGAGAGGCAGTATCAAAAACTTTTCTGAAGTAAAAAATCCCAGTATTTACTGGCTAACCAATTTCTTATAGTAAATCACTACTGTATGCTTTATTTATCCATTCAATCTTCTTATTAGATGGTCTATTTTCTTGCCCAAAGCACTTTAATTTCTCTAAACTTTCAGCTACACACTGTAATTGTTTTTGCACAAGTGCTCATGAATGTATCACCCCATGAATACTTCTCCTTTCAGATGAAGAATTACTTTCTTTCATCTGCAGATAGGCCAGTAAATAAGAAGCAACACATGCCGTATCAGTATGCTGCCTACACATATCTAAAAAGGAGTTCTAAGAGAAGTTCTGCATTCCTTTCAACAGTTACTCCAAGAGGCCACAGCTGCTGTCTGATAATGACCTTGCACCAGAAGTTCTGCTCCCACATAAGGTGATCTGAGTCAGCCTCTGAAAGTGCCTGTCTAAATTCACTGCTTATATTGAAAGACATTGATGCGTCAACTGAGCTGAGAAGATGAGAGGATGCTACACAGTACATCCTTCTTTCCTGCCCTAATTGACCAGAAAATACAGCAGTTACCTTCTGCCAGGCTTTCTTCTCACAAGGAATGAAAAACCAAAAAAGCATGGGGAAGAAGCAGGATGGTGCAGACATGCCTAAGCCTCACCATGAATGAGAGCCAGGACCTACTCACACCATGTAGCCAGGCTTGGCTTTAAATTTAAGCCATGGCAATTCCTCTTTCCCAAGCTACATGCCAAAGTATTTTCAAAAGGTATGAAAAATAGTGAAACGACATTTTTTCAATCATCCGTCGTATACAGTCAATCTGCCCATAAAATTCTCAGTGATGACTAGTAAACCACTTTCATCCCCAAGTTCCAAAATCTGAGCAATTTCATATGACTGTTTTCCACTTTTGCCTCTGAAAAAAATACAATTCCACATGAGAAGGCTGGTGTATGACATATGACACACAAGACTATCTCCCTTACCTGACACATGAGGCACGTTCATGGTCATCTCATTTAGTAACACACTGCCATCTGATCTGAAAACCACAACCTGCATAATAGCAAATAGAATCAATGAGGTTCCAGGTACTGAGAGGAAAAGAAACTAAAAAAAACATTCAAGAGGGGAGACATTCTGCACATTTAGACTGTGGCTAGAACTTAAAATCTTTGGAATGAAGAACGTCTGAAAATCGAATGTGCAGCAGACCTGTAGGATACAAGTAAGGTTTTGTCTTGCTGTTCAGTGTTTCACTTACACCTGCCTACAACAATTTATAGCAGTAATGAAATGCAAATCTCATTTATATTGGCCACTTTATTTCCAGCAAGAAAATGCTAGGCCTTCAAGATCTATATCAAGTTCCAAATCTCTATGAAAGCATGTGCCACAGCTCCAGTGTAATGATTTAGTATGATTCTGGCATGGTAAGAAAGCAGTTTGTTAAACTTCCTCATAAATGAGAGTCTGTACATACAGAAACATAAAATTATAGGTTTCTGATTTGTTTTGGTTTGGGTTTGTCCTAGTTAGGCAGGAAAGGACATGGGACACTGGAAACATGGAAGGAAAATTATGTGCACATGTATGTAAAATTAGGTATAAATATAATCTAGATATTCCCATAACAAAACAGAATACCAAAAAGAATGAAAATATAAACATTTAAGAAAGTTGGATTGTATCAATATTCAAAGATGGTGTCTCTTCTGAAGAAGACACAATTAGGTCTATAAAATTGCATCCTAATAAAGTAAAATGCTGTGAGGAGATGAAGAATGGCACTCTTACTTCCAGCCAACCCTGAATACAGTAAGAAGAATCATATACCAGAGGAGGAAAGGGGGAAATGTCATCTTATTTGAATTTCATCTTCTGTACCCTTTAGGTCTATTTTGAGTTGTCAAGGCAGAAGCCTGAGCTGCTTTTCAGCCTGAGGTACCTTATCTGTCCACAACAGTGACTCCAGAAGGATTAGTTATTGCTGTACAATAATGGAAATATGCTAATTTTCAACATATCTAGCAGAACACTTACATTTTTTTTGTCATCTACTAGCAGCACAACAGTTTTCAAACAGGTCTGCCTGTCTGTGGAGCCGCAGGGAGCCAGTTCTGCCAGGAGAGCATGACTGTCATTTACAAAACCCTACAATCACAGGGAAATAAATACCCATTAGCCAAATCAAAGATTTCACGAGATTATTTTCAAAACAAAGACTAAAGTAATCAGTTACAATAACAGTTACTCTAGAACTTAGCTATTAGGACCACCATTTCAGCACTGGTTCTGGAATCCGAACTGCCTACAATTTCTAGTTCAAGATCTTTGTCGTTCTCTAGAAAAACAGGCCCAGCTCCTTTCCCTAGCTGACTTTGACACTTAGACACATGAACAGCTATTACCAATCTGGTTGAAAGCATCTAAACCTAAGAACCGCCAATTTTTGTAGCCTACATATTCATGCAGCCAGAGTGATCCTTTGATTTCTTATACATGAAGGACTCCACTGGATAATAACAGCATACATAGTCTACTATCTCACTTTGTTAACAACCCATTGTAGTAAGTGCTCAACTCCCCAGAAGCGCTATTACAGCCCCTCCTAAATGTTCCAGTACAGTTTTCAGCATTTATAATTCCCTCATCCCATAAAAATGGAATAAAACAATTGGCAGCTGATACACATCAGTGGACAGACATCTGTATTTACTCAAAAAAGAGAAAAGATCTACAGTGCACAGTACCTTGGACAACACATAATAACAGTCTCCATGGAAGGTGTATTTCTTCCCATCAAAGGTGGTAATATGGGAGCCTCCTTCCACTGAACATGTGCCTGGACAAGGTAAATCTTTGCATGTCCATCTGCCTGAATCACAGGTGCTATAAACAGACAAATAATTTAAAAATGCTTGTAGGTATTACAGGAGCTAAGAGCACTGAAAGCATCTGCATACCTAGCAAACAGCAAGAAAACCACAATGTTTTAAAAATGGATATTTTACCATTTCCTTAAGATTTCCCCTCTGCCACATGCCATAGATACAGGAAAACTTTAAAAAGATTTGGTTGTATAAATATGCAATATAAATGCTAATTTCAGAATGTTTTCAGGAAGTCTCCTATGACTAAGTGGAAGACTGAAAAACACAGACCCATTTACAATCAAGCAAAGAAAGGTATATAAACAACTGTGATCCTTACCATTCTTCACATTCATTGGTAATGCTTGCTCCAGGTGAATACTCATTTCCATGGAGTTTGCAGTGGCACTGGCTAACAGGTATGCATCCTTTTTCAGTAATATCATCATACACAGCTCCTGTAAAGCACAACAGTAAACTATTCCAGCTGTTCCTGAAAGAAGTGATTTCCAGAGAGGAGAAACTCTCAGAGGAGGCATGCTCTCAATACAGCACAGAAAGCAAAGGCTGAAATTATCAAAACTGAAGAATACTGTTTGTGCTTTCTATAAGACACATGGGAAGCACTTTAATCCAGCTTTGAAAACCTAAGTCTACTTGTTTATATAGCTACACACAGACAAAAAGGTTAATGCAAGTACACAAGAACAATCTCAGACTTTCACATGTTTAGATTTTCAGTCATTCTGGCATATTCTGTAGACTATCATTGTAATATTTTTTCTGAAGGTTGACAGTAGAATCATAGAATAGTTAGGGTTGGAAAGTACCTTAAGATCATCTAGTTCCAACCCCCTGCCATGGGCAGGGACACCTTACACTACACCATGTCACCCAAGGCTTCATCCAACCTGGCCTTGAACACTGCCAGGGATGGAGCATACACAACTTTCCTGGGCAACCCATTCCAGTGCCTCACCACCTGTACAGTAAAGAATTTCTTCCTTACATCCGATTTAAACTTAGCCTTGTTAAGTTTTAACCTGTTATCCCTTGTCCTATCACTATAGTCCCTAATGAAGAGTCCATCCCCAGCATCCACATAGCCCCTCTTCAGATACTGAAAGGCTCCTATGAGGTCTCCACAGAGCCTTCTCTTCTCCAGGCTGAACAGCCCCAACTTTCTCAGCCTGTCTTCATACAGGAGGTGCTCCAGACTCCTGATCATCCTCGTGGCCCTCCTCTGGAATTGTTCCAACAGTTCCATGTCCTTTTTGTGTTGAGGACACCAGAACTGTCCACAATACTCCAAGTGGGGTCTCACAAGAGCAGAGCAGAGGGGCAGGATCACCTCCTTTGACCTGCTGGTCACACTCCTTTTGATGCAGCCCAGGATACGGCTGGCTTTCTGGGCTGTGAGCGCACACTGCAGCAAGCTCATGTTCATTTTCCCATCGACCAACACCTCCAAGTCCTTCTCTGCAGGGCTACTCTGAATCTTTTCTCTACCCAACCTGTAGCTGTGCCTGGGATTGCTCCAACCCAGGTGTAGGACCTTGCACTTGGCATGTAGCTCCATCATAGAAGGCCACCAAATTGATCAGGCAGGATTCCCCCTTAGTGAAGCCATGCTGGCTGTCACCAAGCACCTTGTTGTTTTTCATGTGCCTTAGCATGCCTTCCAGGAAAATCTGTTCAAGATTTTGCCAGGCACAGAGGTGAGGCTGACTGGTCTGTAATTCCCTGGGTCATCCATTTTCCCCGTTCTTGAAATGGGGGTTATATTTCCCTTTTTCCAGTCATCGGGAACTTCACCTGACTGCCATGACTTTAAATATGGTCGACAATGAGTCTGAGAATTTCACTCAGTGACCCTCATTATCACTCTCTAGCCAAATAACATCCATTGTATCACAACTGTTGAACCTAAAAAGCATGATTTTCTATATATTAGCAGAAATAAGAAGTAAAAACCAGATTTATTACCTGTATATGATTTAAGAATAAAATCATTGATTAATCAATAATGATATTGTTTAAAAACCTTATAAATAATTTTCACCTAGGGGGAAATAATGAACAGTAGTACTAATTTTTAAGATATAAATTGACTACATTTAATATTTTAGCTTTGACCTCCTTCGCCAGAGCTCCTGGTTTTGTCCACATGCAACACCTAGAATAACACTTGCCTTCAGGACAGAAACAACCATCCATGTAGTGTTCCTCACAAAGGCTGCTGATCTCCAAGTGTGAGCAAGTATCCATGCAGGGTGAGCTGCTTTCTCTGTAGATCATGGTATCAGGACAGGTTTTAGCTGAAAGAATGAGAAAGTCACCACCAGTTATTTGTATATAAAGTTCATCATTCCTCAGAAACCACAGATTATATACCCTATTCCCTTCAAGTCAGTGATGTCCCAAGCCAGATATCATCTGGCAAAGCATTTTTCTGAACTGCTTCCCCTGCTTTTTATATTTTCTTCTTTTGGTTTCAAATAGATCAGATTATCCCAATCATCTGCAGCATCAGACCTCACAGGTTTTCAATGGGAACAGAATTCCTACTTGCTGAAAATGATTTCTTAATATACAAGGGTAATAGAAGAAGAAAAGAAGAAGAATATATTATGCAGTTTATTGCACTACTGGCATGAAATTTGTAAGGTATGGATTAATTACACATAATTTGTGTAGAGAAAGAATTAATTTAAATGCAAATGTTAAAGTGCTATACCCACAAAATATTTCTTTGTAAAATTCATATAGCTGCTTACGGCAAAAGCTGTGTGTCCTCCATTCACCCGGCCGGCCACCCGCATGTGAGCACTGGCGAGAATACTCAGAGATGGTGCTGCAGAGGCAGAAGGAGTCCTCGCTTCCATTACATGCACACTTGTCCTGCATGCAGGCTTGGATGTACATTTCCAAATTAAGACGTAAACGACAATCAGCAAATGCAGAGGAAGTCAGCAGCCTCTCACACTCATCACGCTAAGAAAGAAGAATAATATTTCAGAGATATGTAAACACCTGAGCTTCTAGACACTTCCTCCTTTGTCACAAAAACTTGCCTTCTGAACAGCAATAGTTATTTAAGAAGGAAGAAGAAACCATTTGCCCTAGAAGGTACTACGTTTTTCCAGCTCCACACGCACTAACAAGGATGTCTTCACGTGCCCATGCAAGTGAAGTTCACCATTAGGAATACTCACATGCCCATTGCAGCTTGGAAGAGCCTGAGTTTCATCAGGATCTTCACACTTGGCATTGGGTTTGTTGATCTTCTGTAAATTCCCGTATGTAATTGAATTGTAGCTTTCATCTATGAGAAAAAAATTGCAAAGAGGACTTCCTGAGCCCCAGAAATTGACAACAAGGAGCATTTGATTCCTGGGACCCTACTGATCAAAGAAAACGGTTACTATGTTATCAAATGTGCCTGTCAGACACAGGCCTAGATCTCAATTTTGTCTATTATGTCTAAGTGTGCTTAAAAATTTAGAGTTAAAGAAGGCCAGTAGGGAAAAGGGCAAGATGATTTACTGGGAATAAAATAACCTTAGACCAGGAATGCAGCACTAGAACATAATATTTATTCTGGGGCATAGAAATCCCTCAGGTGAAATTCGCTCTCCTGTTGTTCTCTTATGCACAATGCTTATCGGACTATCTTCTGTGATAACTGTCACTATGGTAGGATGACTCACCTCCATTGATAAACTCATCGTAAACTGGAACTCCATTATAATCCCCACACAGACCACATGTATGGTTATTAAATTTCCTGTCCAGCTCTACCTAGATAATGGAAAGAAAAAGGAAAAACAGAAAAGAGTTATCTGGTGCATGAAGACATTCCAAAACAAATACTTTTACTTGAAAGAGAAGTTACTAAATGACAGAAGTGATGGTGAACCCGAAATTCTCAGAAAAGTTGCAAATAAATTTGTAACATAGTTAATAAACACACAGATGCAAAAAGTAACACAGTAAACAGAAAGAAGTGACTGAAATTTCTATATTTCAATAACGGAAGTAGTGATAAAGATGAAAAGTAAAGTATTCTTAAAATCACAAGACTACTGCTTTGGCTTAAATTTTCTCCTTTTTTTTTAATTGCATACTGGGATAAAATTTAAGTCTTGCTGTAAATTAGGAAAGTAGGTGGTGGCAGTACTTCAAAAGACAAATGAAGGAAAACACAGATTGGATTATGGGGGTGCTATAGCAAAAACATTAGCTACTTCTCAGAACATTTCTTTTCTGTTTCTTGAGACCAGTAAGAATATCTGCATGCCATCTGCTATCTATATCACACTGAAGAGAAGGGAACTTCTATGTTTTTAAAATAAGGTACTATGAGTGTCAGTTGGGTAAGTCAGCCCAACACGCTAGCTCTGTTCAGTTTGTGAGAGTCAACTTCTGTTTAGTATACAGTAGTCTGTTAAACCCAGTAAAATGTCAATAAAAAAGACATGGGTCATACATACCATCAGTGCATCTTCTTGATTCCATATCAGAATCAGACCTAATTTGGCATAAACCTTGGTGTAAATGTCATTGCTCTCAATGACCACACCGGAGCTGTAGTAAGGTGTCTTCACACTAGGAAGAAAATCAGAGATTTTGCATTAGTACAGAAACATAAGAGATGACATGATTGTCTGTAATAAGCAAAATACCCTAATGAATAGAGAAACCAGTCCCTGTCCACCTGAATTTAGCTGCACAGGGAGCCTTGTTTTAATGAGGCACAAAACCCTCCTCTCTGGCACTTGACATAACTTATCGCCTTTAAAAGGCAAAACAATTTCAGAGGCAAAGCCTCCCTAAGGGTACAGATTCTTTACGAAAAAAGCCAAAATGTCAGATGTCTTCAATTTAATCAAAAGAAAATCCATCCTCATTGTGCTATTAACAGAGGATATCCAAACACTCACTAATAATTTACTTCAAAGAAATAAGTAAAAACATAAATGGAAGCTTTTCTTTACCAAATGATTTGACAACCATTTCAGGGAGAATGAATGTTCCTTTGCAAGGATCTTCCTTCTCAAAATAGTGTTTAAAAAGCACAGGCAGATACAAGGACTGCCAACAGAAGTTTGAAAAGAAAGGAGAATGTAAAGAGGAATTCAGTAGTTTGTTGCAGTACTTAGTTAACTATTTTTCAGTTGACAGGACCAATCTTGTTAATGGTGACAGCAAGACATTATAATGCGACAGAAAACATTCTGAAGAAGGGTGAGCACAGATGGTTTTGTATGACAAAGAATCAGTTCACCAGATCTCTCTCCTGCTCTTGCGCATCTGTCTTACAGTGCACTACTGAATTTAATTCAGCAATAAAGGTATTGTGGTAAGCAGCCTCATCCTATAAAATCTAGAGAACTAGATTCTGTTCAAACAGAAGTAAACTGGAATCCAGTAAAAATAACCAGTTAAATGTCTATAGATTTGCCAATATAATTGTTACAAGATTCATGTCTATGCCCATCGCCTCTTCACTAATCTCTTGACTGGAAGAATTTTTATCTCCTAATTTCTAGTCGCTGGGATTTTTCCAGCTATTTATCTCAGGCATTTTTAACATGGCCAAATGACTTACACATCTAAATGTTAGGCAGAAATTCAGAAGCCATTATTTCTACTTTTAGCTGCATTGTTCATCCTCTGGGCAATGAGGCTTTAAGAGATCATGTTTTTGGAGAGGGATTATAAAACATTGGGCAGCTTTTGACCTTTCAGATATTACAGCATGGAATATTTCTATTTTTTTTTTCTAATACTAGGATGTTCAATCTATCAGTGGATCGGGTACCAAAAGGCAAATTAATAATTTTTTCTATTTTAGTTTTCCCTTCAGTAGCATGAAATGCTATTTTACATGACTCTGGATCACATGTCATTTAAAAAGCAACATGGAAAATTAAGTTCTATAAAAAACTAATCCTGTTCAACCTGCATAGAAGAGATCTATTTTTTTATGAAAATCATGTACGACAAAATGATGCTTGGTTTAAGAAAAGCAAATTTTAAAGGATTTCTAAACCTGTTTTTCATGGAAGTTCTTTTTAAAACTTGAGTACACAATAAAGGGCTTCTTCAACTTGGGACAAGAATGCATTTTTTATAGCATCATGTCATTTTTTTATGTATCTGGGAGGATCCTTGGAAAATTTAATGTTACTTCCTATCTTTAAACAGATTTTCATTGCAGTGGTTTCCAAACTTGGGAGCAAAACCCAAATTTTGAGCAAACCCCAGTCCTACAATGACAATAGAATGGATTTTTTTTTAATTACGTTAAGTCATACCAACCCACTTTCTTCCATCTTCAGAACTATGTCTTAATCTATGAGTTGCTTCACTTGTTTCAGTATGTACATATACAGAGACTGAAATGATAAGCTAACAATAGGAAAGGCTAGGTTAAGGCACTACTTGGCAGCAAATAATGGTGTCAGACTAGTTCTTTGTGCAACCATGTTACAGGAGAACTAAAATACCACAGCTCACTGTGAAGAAGTACATATTATTATGTACAAATCAGTGTAAATTTTGACCTGCGTAATATCTGTTACAATCCCTTAAGGAACGACCATCAGACCTTAAAAAATTATTTAGATCAGAAAAAATGATCTGCCACAAAATGAGAGGAAAAGACCCTACAGAAATGCATCTTCATTTCTGAGGATCTGCTAGATCATCTGCTAAAGTAAACTCCACGTGACGCCATAAAACAAATGAAACTATGTCATTTTATGCCTGGATCACGTGCTGGATTGTTTCCTGCACAACCAGAAGAACAATTCATTCAAACCTCTTCCTTACTTGCAAGAAACGATGATTAATACTAAAGTCCCTCTCCAAAGTAATTCTTATGCTGGATTTCAAGGTTTTTTTTTTTCTGCACAAGGAAATGTTTGTAATAGTTTCCTCAATGGTATACAAACAGCTGTGTAAAGAATTAATCCTGGTTTAACTTCCCAGCACATTTATTGGAAATACTATTACACTAAAGGAACTTACATCTGCCCATCCACAACAACCAGTTTTGGTCTGAGGTACAGTGTAAAGTCCTTGATTGTTAGCAGAATATACTGGATCTCAGGGTGGTTATTGCTGTTCAGAGCACGCTGAATATGGATAGAGAACTCCTTGTAAGGCTCTCGGCAGTCAGAAGCAAAATTATACTCGCAAATGCCAGGGAATTGGTAGATGTCTCCATCAAAAGTTTTGAAATGGTTGTTTCCCCAAGTGCTGCAGACATAGTGACCATGGTTTCTTGTCCTGCCTGTTAAGTGATGAAAAAGAAACAGGCATGAGAAAAGTGAAATGAGTGAGCTAGCATCAAAAAAGGTTGTGTTGCATTTTACAGTAGAAAGCACTTGCAATTTCATGCACAGTGATTCCACAGATCTCAAACCTCAAGTATCTACCCACGAAGCAAAAGAGATGGAAATCTTTAATTAATTAAAATTAAAGACATTAAGAAATTAAGACATTAACAAATACTTCCAAAAGCCAGGTAGAGAATTATAGAACCATAGAATAGTTAGGGTTGGAAAGGACCTTAAGATCATCGAGTTCCAACCCCCCTGCCAGGGGCAGGGACACCCCACACTACACCACTGCCAGGGATGGAGCATTCACAACTTTCTTGGGCAATTCATTCCAGTGCCTCACCACCCTCACAGGAAAGAACTTCTTCCTTGTATCTAACCCGAACTTCCCCTGTTTAAGTTTGAACCTGTTACCCCTTGTCCTATCACTATAGTCCCTAATGAAGAGTCCATCCCCAGCATCCTTATAGGCCCCTTCAGATACTGAAAGGCTGCTATGAGGTCTCCACGCAGCCTTCTTTTCTCCAGGCTGAACAGCCCCAGTTTTCTCAGCCTGTCCTCATAAGGGAGGTGCTCCAGTCTCCTGATCATCCTCGTGGCCCTCCTCTAGAGTTGTTCCAACAGTTCCATGTCCTTTTTATGTTGAGGACACCAGAACTGAACACAATACTTCAAGTGGGGTCTCACAAGAGCAGAGCAGAGGGGCAGGATCACCTCCTTCAACCGGCTGGTCACGCTCCTTTTGATGCAGCCCAGGATATTGTTGGCTTTCCTGGCTGCGAGCGCACACTGCCAGCTCATGCTCATTTTCTCATCAACCAGCACCTCCAAGTCCTTTTGTGCAGGGCTGCTCTGAATTTCTTCTCTCCCCAACCTGTAGCTGTGCCTGGTTAAACTTCACAAGGTTGGCATTGGCCCACTTCACAAGAGTGTCAAGGTCCCTCTGGATGGCATTCCTTCCCTCCAGCGTATCAACTGAAACACACAGCTTGGTGTCATCGGCAAACTTGCTGAGGGCGCACTCAATCCCACTGTCCATGTCACCAACAAAGATGTTGAACAAGACCGGTCCCAACACTGATCCCTGGGGGACACCACTTGTTACTGGTTTCCAGCTGAACATTGAGCCATTGACCACAACTCTTTGCGTGCGGCCATCCAGTCAGTTCTTTGTCCACCGAGTAGTCCATCTATCAAATTGGTTTCTCTCCAATTTAGATACAAGGATGCCGTGTGGGACAGTGTTGAACGCTTTGCAAAAGTCCAGACAGATGACATCAACTGCTCTACCCCTGTCCATCAGTTTGTAGCCCCAAAATAGAAGTCCACCAAATTGGTGAGGCAGGATTTCCCCTTAGTGAAGCCATGCTGGCTGTCACCAACCACCTTGTTGTTTTTCATGCATATCTCATAATCCTCACTGAGGTGAAGGAACTTGTCTGCATGAGGTGCGGAAACTTAACCCTCTGACCACTAACAAGATGGTTCATCAGTGCAATGAGATGCTTTACCAAACACATGATTTTATTCTGAATCACAGTATTATTTTTAACGGTATTAAATATTTCTAAGAGCTATTTTCTTCTCTGATGCAACATGCACTAAAATGAAAACAAAGATAGGAAACCAAGGAACTACCACTCCTACTCTGGAAGGCAAATAGCTTATATGTACTGAAAGGATTTGTATGCTGCAGAAGTTTTAAAAGAATTCTTTCTTTAACTAACAGAGTAGTGATTTCTATTGTTACCAAATAGAAATTCTTCATAAGATAAGTCAGAAAATAACCATGGTAGGAGACAAAAAAAAATTAATTTTGCAATAGCAAAAGATGAAGCTGATTATGGTATTTGTTCCTTTCCCAGCCATTTGTACCAACAAATAATACAAATGAACACAATAAGTGATAAATCTCAAGATGCTGTAGATTAGGGGTAAACATAAAAGCTGAGCATACCCGAGAAGCTTGCCAAGGTATCAAAAGCACACATGCCGCTCACCTTCACAAAAGTATCTTGCAGTGTTTAATTTGAGAAAGCGAAACTATCAAGGGGACCTCTAAGTTATTGTACTTTGATGGCATCAATCATACCAGATATATCCAGAAGCTGATATGCTTCTTTCCCAGAATGAAGGCTACATAGAGACTCTCCCACAACTCACAGCTGGGACAAAAACCACCAGATAATGCTTTCCTCCCATTGCTAAATTCAAGATGCAGCGAGCAAGACCAACATCCCAAACATGATCATGGCTCAAAATTCATCACCTATTCCTCCAAAAATAGCTTTCAGTATGACAGCTCCATTTCAACACTTCAAACAAAGTTGATAACAGAGTAAATTAGAGCATTTACAGGATTATTAATGTCCTGAATGACAAAATCATCTTTGTCCAATGTTAGTATATTCACTTTTAAAGAAAGCACTTATGTCATTCCAAACTAACAGAAGGTACAATTGTCCACTTTCTTCATTGATGTAACAATGAACCTCCCAAACTCCCATAGTTGCTTTCTGCCAACTAAGTCCAGTCATACCTAGGAAAGCCTCAACACATTGAAAGAAAAGTAACACTGAAAATTTTTCCAAGCACCTCAAACTAGAGATGAATGCAGTAGATATTGGTACTAATCTCTCCAAAGACAGTAGTATCTGCTTATGCTTGCTGAGCCATGTAGCCTCAGTATTTGAAAGTTTAAGAAATTTGAGGCACCTTAAAACTCCAGTGCATTATTTAAATGCGCTGCCTCTTTCTACCTCTGCATTGGTATTTTAATTCTCTCCCTCTTTTCCACGAGGCAGTCTGCTACCATTTAATTTCTAGAGCTTACCTTTTCTTATTTCATTTGCATAGGAAAGAGCCAGCCAGAGCATAAAAAGGCTGGCAACTCTTAGCCCCATGGTGGGTAAGGTGGGTGAACTGGGAACTTCACTGAAACCTTTTCTTTATATAATATCCACTGATGCAATTGATTCTATCACAGGGGAGGAGATACAATGGGAGGAGGAAAGAGGAGGAGTAAAAAAATAGGCACGATATTTACAGAAGATAAGAGGTAAACAGACAGGTATTTTTCACCATAAATGAAGGAATTCAGTATACAGGAAATGGTATAATATTGATTCAGTAATCATGCAAATTTTTATTGCTTTGTTTCACCTACAGGATTCTATGCTTTTAAATTCTTCAGATGCTCATGCCAAGTTTAACCTCAGTAACTCCTATAACAAATAGTAAATTTTGAAGTGGCTTAACAAAGAAATTCCTTGAAGGAAGTTTAGGATGATGTACCCTCAAATAAAGGCTTCAGACCCAAAGGATTTTTCATTTTTGCCTATCATGAAGAATGATTTCTGTAAAAATTAACTGATGCTTGTGAAGCTCCTTGTAGACCATAGTAACAGCTACAAATAAAAATGATACATCATGTCTTATAAAATTACTCTGCAGGCAACGGTTAGATTCCCTTCATTTGTAAAGCTCCAGTGAGCATCTAAAACAAGGTATACAGCACGTACTGCATATTGTGCCCAAAACATAATTGAGATGGGGTGACATGTAAGTTCAAGGAATTCACAGCAAAAGAGATGCTCTACTGAACATTGCCATGGTGCAACAGAAAGTCCATCAAAAAGGTTGTAAGAGATGACACCATATTAAACTTGGGGGGGAGGAAGGGAGGGAAAAGTAAAGGTAAAAACATTACTGTCCAGACTGAATAACAAATGTTTACAGACAGAATCCCTCTAAACAGCTTGTTCATTCTTACCTTCTACATGAATGATAAATTTACATACTACTGCCTGTCATCAGAAGCTACTAAAGCTATAGGGTTAGCTTTGCTTTGTGCAGAGGGTTCTTGGGAGAAGAAGAAAGCAGAAAACAGAACCAGAAACCAGATCAGAATGCAGCTTCAGAAATACGTCTCCACATAAACTGTATTTTACACTGAAAAATTCTTTTGAGGTATTTCTGCAATTCTCTTCAGAAGACAAAACACAGGCTCCTTGAAGTAAATTACACTTATTTCAACAGATCTTTTAACATGGCTGCTTCCTAGCACTAACATGGTTTACATTTTAAAGCACCCAGGCCAGGCTCTATATTTTCTCATGAAAAGTTTCTTAGTGCAGTGTCCAGAAATCTCCAATACTCTTACCTGTTCAGAGTGTTCCTCACTTCAATTGCTCAAATTAAAAGTAGACCATTAATATTTTGTAAAACACCAGGAAAACTCTTCACTTGGCCCCTTTGGCTGCTGTAGTCAATTAGAAACACCCTTTTATCATAAAGGCATGGTCTTCAGCAGTGGTTTTCTTTTATTTGCTATTTTTTCTCCAGTACAGCCTTGTCTTAACCTGAACATCTTCCTCTTTTCCCTGAATACATCTCAAAAGGTTTTAGACCTTCTGCTTTTCCTGTTAGGGATACAGGAAAGAAGATGTGCACTTGTCTCACCCTTACATAGGGTATCATTCACTTAACACTCATGATAGAAATGAAGTAGTCACCCTTTATTCCTTTGGGATTTTATCACTAGAAGAATATACAATTTATATTCCTTCTTGGAAAATAAATTCAGTAATGACCACTAAGAACAAACCATTTAGAGGAAGAAAAAAGAAGAAACTGTCTACAGAGACCTTTCCCTGATGGTTACTTTAGCAGATCTACCTTCTTATGAAACCTCAGAGACATCTCCCATCTTTGAAATTTCTTTTAGGCCACAGAATTTTTAGTTCAGAAATGCTTACTAGAAATATTTAGAAGACTCCTGAATGACTTTATTTTGAGCTTTTCTTTTCCTCTATGTGTTTTCCAGGCAGTCTCCTGTTTGGAACTACTATTGCTCCAGAAAAAGAGCCCCCATGACTTAATTCATATACATTCTTTGCAAACTGCAACAGCAACTCCATGTACACAACAGATCTGATCCCTTTTTAGTTTAAATTGGATGTGTATGCTCACAGGTGTAAGTCGGAAACTTGCATGTTTTCCATTCACTTTTTTTTGACATGAAACTTCTAGATCTGGAACTAGCTTCATACATTTTCAGGGACTGAGAAAGGTAATCATCCTTCATATAAAGATGTATCATCCCTCAATTCAATACAGAATCATAGAATAGTTAGGTTTGGAAAGGACCTTAAGATCATCTAGTTCCAACTCCCCCACCATGGGTAGCAACGCCTCACACTAGACTATGTTTATCAAGGCTCTGTCCAACCCGGCCTTGAACACCGCCAGAGACGATGAAGCATTTACCCCTTCTTTGGTCAACCTGTTCCAGTGCCTCACCACCCTTACAGTAAAGAACTTCTTCCTTATATCTAACCTCAACTTCCCCTGTTTAAGTTTAAACCCATTACCTCTTGTCCTATCACTACAGTCTCTGATGAAGAGTCACTCTCTGGCATCTTTGTAGGCCCCCTTCAGATATTGGAAGGCTGCTATGAGGTCTACACGCAGCCTTCTCTTCTCGAGGCTGAACAGCCCAAATTTTCTCACCTGTTTTCATATGCTGGTGGTTTTCTCCTATGCAGGTGAGCAATGCACCTTTCTTTAGGCAATATGCATCAGTCTAACCCTTTGAAAAGGTACTTTGAAAAGTACCACTAAATTTTACTGACTGATTTTCTCTGCTCCAGCTCTGGCCTGCCTGTACATGAAGCACAATTCCTTTTCAGGCTATAAGGTTAAAACAGGACTATTTTCATCTCCAGTCTTCTCTTCCCAGAGTGATCAGAAACTTCTTATTGTCCCTTCATCTGAAACATAGGAAACTGTGACTAACTGTGACATCCTGTTGTGGTTTAAGCTCAGCTGGCAATTAAATATCATGCAGCTTTTGCTCACTCATCCTTCACCAGGTAGGATGGGGAGGAAAATGGGAGAAAAGGTAAAGAGCCATGAGATAAGAACAGTTTAATAACTGAAATAGAAGTAAAATATAACAGAGCAACAACCCACCCCACCCCCTGCCCAAGAACATAAACAGTCAAAACCAAAACCAAGTGATAGACAATAAAATTGCTCACCACCATCTGACCATCCCTGAGCAGTGATCAGCCCATTTCAGCCTGCTCCCCCCAGTTTATATTTATTTATGACGTTCTGTGGTATGGAACATCCCTTTGGCTACTTTGGGTCAGCTGTCCTGGCTGTGCTCCCCCCTGGCTTATGTCCCTCCTCAGTGGCAGAGCATGAGACTGAAAAGTCCTTGATTTAGAGTAAGTAGTGCCCTGCAACAACTAAAACATCAGTGTGTTATCAGCATTATTCTTACACTAAAGCCAAAATGCAGCACTGCATCAGCTACTAGAAAAAATCTTAAATCTAGCCCGGCTGAAACCAGGATGCATCCCAATAAGGAAAAGCAACTTGCCTTTGAACACTGAGACTGCTCTTACAGAATTTGCACTCAAGCTTACATGGCTGTGTTGATCTGAAGAGAAGTGAGTACAGATCCTTATCTTCATAATTCATAAGTATTTGTACTTTTGCTAGCATTAGAAACTGTCCTAAGCTATACCACCTCTGTTTCCTTATTGCCAGAAGGCTAACGATCCTGCCTACCAGCTGCTTTATATTCCTTTCTGAAATAATCAGTCTTTTAGGTAGACTTCATAGCCTGTTTTACTTCATGCTCAGCTACCTTACAGTTTATTGGATTACACATTTTAATCCAGAAGAATCTTAACTGCTAATGCACAGATAGCTCTGCATACATTTGTATGCATTAATTTATTTACCATAAATTGTTTGACAATCTGAAGCAATCAATCCATTTTGGATTCTTTATCATTAGCATCTTTGCTTTAAGCTTACATCGATTCTCAACACATTAGTTGACCTGTCTGTGGAACTTCATGCCATTCATTGCTTCTGGTCATCTTAATCGGAAGTCATCCTCCTCTTTCCAATACCAGGTGTTAACTTGCCATTAATACAAATGATACTTATAATTTTGCATGCACTTCAGTCCTTTCCCAGCAGGGACACTACAACTGAAAATGTGAATTCTAACTGGGTAAAATCTATCACTGTGCAAGTGGCATCACCAGAGCAAGTGGCAACACCAGAACAAGTGATGAGAAGGACTGTTTTCAAATTTAGGTCCCACTGCTGAGTCTAACAGTGGTAGTTTCTTAAAAGTTCCAGAAGTCCATGAGTAGAAATATAATTCCCATAATCTTTCACTGTATGTCTGACCTAGGAACCCAGACACTATTGCTATCACAGCCTATGCTAAAACTCAAAGTCTAAAAAAAAAGTTGATTGCATGGCAAGTCTGTTTGTTACAGCAGCAGATGTAGAAGGAGAGATAAAAAATGTGGTTTGAGTCATAGCTGTGTCAATGCCTTGAATGTTTCCCTACCCTTAAACTTTTATGAGACTATTAAATCTTTCCATCAGCATAGCTAACTTTTAATGTTCATATTAATTGCAGTGTAAGTTTATCTTACAGTATATTTTCTGCTAAAAAGATAACCTACACAGAAGGTTATATTCATTCTGACTCCTATTGCAGAAGAAAATTACCTATATAGAAAATTTGTATTACTTTAAGATAAAATGAAGCAGAGACCTGGCTAGGGTTATTCTTTTAGGAAAAATAAATAATTTTAAAAATAATTTGCATCTGTTTCTATCTGTAATGTATTCAGCAGTCAAGCTTTTATTTAAGGAAATGTTACAAAAACTCACATAGTTTTGATTGATCCTAGGACGCTTCTGAAAATGGGCTAATATATAATTAATTATACTATCATTTTAACCTAAGGTATTCAATTTCTGCTTGAACTACTAATTTCATTGATTGAGCAACTCTTTGGGTAATTTGCATTCTTTTTTATTCAAACAAATACAATGGTATAAGGTATCTGACGATGCTACCTCG